ATATGAAAAAATCTTGGGTTAATTTGCAGAAAAACGTCAAGAATAAGAAACCCCAGTCTAAAATACCAGTTATTATTATTAGTATTATATTATACCAGCACCTTTCTGTGTCCGTGCATGACCCACACTTGAAACCCAACTTTCTGAATCTATTTGAAATGTAAATTATGAACTATTTTAAGAAATCCTGGATAAACGCAGAGGGAGGCTCCACATTCGGCCTGCAGCGTTCCCAAAAGTTACAAAAGTGACTATGCCAGCTTTTTTCACACTCTTTGGCCCTTCAGACACACACACGCACACGCACACACACACGCACACTCACACGCACACTCACACACACACGCACACTCACACACACACGCACTAACATACACACACACACACGCACGCATACACACACACGCACACACGCACGTACACACACACACACACGCACACACACGCACGCACGCACACGCACACACACGCGCACACACGCACGTACACACACACACACGCACACACACACACGCACACATGCGCACACACACACACACATGCGCACACGCACACACACACACACACACGCGCACACACGCACACACACACACACACACACGCACGCACACGCACACACGCACGCACACGCACACACACACACAAATGGGTAAAATGTGTCTGTTTGTTTGGAGCTAAGTTCTGAAACACCAAAATCTAAAAATCCACAAATCTTTCCATTTGAACGGTTTCTACAGTTTCTCTACATTTCTCTTTCTCGTGCCGCGTTCGTCCGACTCCCAGTCATAGCCTCGGTGACAAGCACGGCCTATAATTGGAATAAAAATAGATAAAAATGGGTTTGCCTGGAGATGGAAGTGCTGCATAAGCCGTATAAGGTGTTCAAATAATGTCAAAATGGCAGACGGCTGAACGCAGAGACGCTAGCCCACTCGTTAGCCGCCGCCGCCGCCGCCGCCGCCGCTGCAGATGCCGCGTCAAGCCTTTTTTAAGGAGCTCGCTGCACTTCATAGCCTGAATTCATCTCTGTTCGAAGCCGGTTTTTTGTGGCCTTTGGGAGATGGATGCCTTAAAGCTTTCGCCCCAAAGAGAAGCGTTTTAAAAAAGAGAACAAATCCCTCGGAGCTGGAAAACTTTGGCTGAGAGTTGCTCGTCTTGAAGTATTAGCGAAGCGGGCGCAGATCTGTTAAGGCGGTAATGGCTACACGCCGCTCGAGTCGGGTTTGAGGTGAGACGATGATGTTAGAGATGGAGAGACGGAGGTGGAGAGACGGAGGTGGAGAGACGGAGGTGGAGAGACGGAGGTGGAGAGACAGAGATAGAGAGACAGAGGTGGAGAGACGGAGGTAGAGAGACGGAGGTGGAGAGACGGAGAAAGAGAGACGGAGATGGAGAGACAGAGATAGAGAGACGGAGGTGGAGAGACGGAGATAGAGAGACGGAGGTGGAGAGACGGAGAAAGAGAGACGGAGATAGAGAGACGGAGATAGAGAGACGGAGATAGAGAGACGGAGGTGGAGAGACGGAGATAGAGAGACGGAGATAGAGAGACGGAGGTGGAGAGACGGAGGTGGAGAGACGGAGGTGGAGAGACGGAGAAAGAGAGACGGAGATGGAGAGACAGAGATAGAGAGACGGAGGTGGAGAAGGGAGAGGATCATGTTTTTTAGATGCAGGTTTTGGGGTAATTGGTTAAACTGACAATGAATAGTTTTATATTTGGTTTGAGACACAAAGAATAAGTTTTAAATCGATGAATCTGCTTCACATTAATGACAAAGCTTGTCTGTCTCTCTCTCTGTCTGTGTCTCTCTCTCTGTCTGTGTCTCTCTGTCTCTCTCTCTGTCTGTGTCTCTCTCTCTGTCTGTGTCTCTCTCTCTGTCCGTGTCTCTGTCTGTCTCTCTCTCTCTGTCTGTGTCTCTCTCTCTGTCTGTGTCTCTCTCTCTCTGTCTGTGTCTCTGTCTGTCTCTCTCTCTCTGTCTGTGTCTCTCTCTCTGTCTGTGTCTCTCTCTCTGTCTGTGTCTCTCTCTCTGTCTGTGTCTCTCTGTCTCTCTCTCTGTCTGTGTCTCTCTCTCTGTCTGTGTCTCTCTCTCTGTCCGTGTCTCTGTCTGTCTCTCTCTCTCTGTCTGTGTCTCTCTCTCTGTCTGTGTCTCTCTCTCTGTCTGTGTCTCTGTCTGTCTCTCTCTCTCTGTCTGTGTCTCTCTCTCTGTCTGTGTCTCTCTCTCTGTCTGTGTCTCTCTCTCTCTCTGTCTGTCTCTCTCTCTCTGTCTGTGTCTCTCTCTCTCTGTCTGTGTCTCTCTCTCTCTATCTGTGTCTCTCTCTGTCTCTCTGTTTCTCTCTCTCTGCCTCTTGCTCTCTCTCTCTTTCTATCTCTGTCTCTCTCTCTCTTTCTCTCTCTCTGTCTCTCTCTCTCACTCTTATCTCACTCTTATCTCTCTCTCTCTGTCTGTGTCTCTCTCTATTGAACTAACAGACAGAGTGATGGTGAATCCTCTTTACCATCTCTCACAAAGAGAATCAAACCCATGTCCTCCTCTCTTTCCTTCTCGCTCTCCTCCTCTCTCTCCTCCTCTCTCTCCTCCTCTCTCTCTCCTTCTCTCTCTCCTCCTCTCTCTCCTTCTCTCTCTCTCTCTCTCTCTGTCTCTCTCTCTCCTCCTCTCTTTCCTTCTCTCTCCTCCTCTCTCTCCTCCTCTCTCTCCTCCTCCCTCTCCTCCTCTCTCTCCTCCTCTCTCTCCTCCTCTCTCTCCTCCTCTCTCTCCTCCTCTCTCTCCTCCTCCCTCTCCTCCTCTCTCTCCTCCTCTCTCTCCTCCTCCCTCTCCTCCTCTCTCTCCTCCTCCCTCTCCTCCTCTCTCTCCTCCTCTCTCTCTCCTCTCTCTCCTCCTCTCTCTCCCGTCTCTCTCTCCTCTCTCCCTCTCCTCCTCTCTCTCCTCCTCCTCTCCTCCTCCTCCTCCTCCTCCCTCTCTCCTCCTCTCTCTCCTCCTCTCTCTCCTCCTCTCTCTCCTCTCTCCTCCTCTCTCTCTCCCGTCTCTCTCTCCCTTCTCCCTCTCCTCCTCTCTCTCCTCCTCCCTCTCCTCCTCTCTCTCCTCCTCTCTCCTCCTCTCTCTCCTCCTCTCTCTCCTTCTCTCTCTCCTCCTCCCTCTCCTCCTCTCTCTCCTTCTCTCTCTCCTCCTCCTCTCTCTCCTCCTCCCTCTCTCTCCTCTCTCTCCTCCTCTCTCTCCCGTCTCTCTCTCCTTCTCTCTCTCCTCCTCTCTCTCCCGTCTCTCTCTCCTCCTCTCTCTCCTCCTTCTCTCTCCTCCTCTCTCTCCTCCTCCCTCCTCCTCCTCTCTCTCCTCCTCCTCTCTCCTCCTCTCTCTCTCCTCTCTCTCCCGTCTCTCTCTCCTCCTCTCTCTCCTCCTCTCTCCTCCTCCTCTCTCTCCTTCTCTCTCTCCTCCTCTCTCTCCCGTCTCTCTCTCCTCCTCTCTCTCTCCTCCTCTCTCTCCCGTCTCCCTCTCCTCCTCTCTCTCCCGTCTCTCTCTCCTCCTCTCTCTCCTCCTCTCTCTCCTCCTCTCTCTCCTCCTCTCTCTCCTTCTCTCTCTCCTTCTCTCTCTCCTCCTCTCTCTCCTTCTCTCTCTCCTCCTCTCTCTCCTCCTCTCTCTCCTCCTCTCTCTCCTTCTCTCTCTCCTCCTCTCTCTCCCGTCTCTCTCTCCTTCTCTTTCACACGTGTGGGCTGTTCTTTTGAAGTGGAACCCTCCGTCTCTCCCTGCGCAGCCCCGACTCATCTAATCAGCAGCTAATTCCTCTTATTAAGATCTGGGCGATAACTTTGATTCTCCGCGGTCCATCTCGCCGCCGTCGTTTAATCACTGTCTCGCTGCTGCTCCGAGCGCTTCTCTCCGCACTCCTTTCTATTGTTTCAGGCAAAAAAAGCTGAAAAGAGAAAGAGGCCGAGACATATTAGCGATATTAATGACGCATGGTCCTGTCGTCCGTAATGAAAGGGATTATTATCTGATGAAACGTGGCTAATTCCTGAAAGCTTGAGAAGTCGTGTCGATGGCTCGTCTCGCAGATTTGCTCCTGTGATGTTTGGGAATTAAGAGATTTAAAAGAAGAACAGTGTTAGAATCTGAGAAAATCTAAGTGGGAATAATGTAAGCCAGGAGTTTGGGCGGCGAGGAGAGATGAGAGAAGAATTTTGGATCAAGTTTTTCGATCTTTGCTCCGGGTTCAAACCTGGAATACCGTGAAGAATACTTATAATTTGGCCTTTTTTCTTTTTTTTTCTTGTAAAACTAAAGCACAAGCTCTAAATGTTGACAAAGTCTTTAGTTAAAATACACAGACATTCCCGTACGCAATGATTTAACACTAAAACAGCTCCATCTGGTGGTAGAAGTGTGGTACTACCTTCTGTGATGCTTCCATATTCTTTATCCATTCATATTCTACTAAAAACATGCAAACGGTTTTCCTTCATAACCAGTGTTTTAAAAAGTAAAATGTCTGACCACAAAATACTGCCTTTAGAAAACAAGCTAGCTTTGGCGTTAAACAAGAACAAATCCCTGTGTGTCACTTTTTGACGCTTTGGGCTGAGAGCTGATTGGAGTGTGGTCCTTCATTTTTCACTTTTCTGTCTGAATCTAAAGATCTAAAAATGTGACCGAAGCCAAAACTATTGATAAAACTAGTTATTTTTGTTAGCGAGCAACTGGGGACGTGGTGTTTTGGGATTTTTGTTGTGATTTGAAAGTTTTCTTTGACTGTTTTAAATGATTTTATGGCACTGTCGCTTTAACTGTGTGTACCAGAGTTAGCCGTAGTCCCGTGGGCAAATGTTAAGGCCGGCCTAAAAATAAGAAACTAATTAAGAACGCACTTCATAAAAACAGTGGAAAAGACCAAAACCAATGTTATTTTATTTCATTCACAAAAACTTATACAGACCACAATTTAGACCAGTCCAAGACCACAATTTAGACCAGTCCAAGACCACAATTTAGACCAGTCCAAGACCACAATTGTGTAGTATATTTTGTGTAAAGGGTTAAAACCAGATGTGAGAGATGAAGCGGCGTCGGTCTCTCGAGCTTACGTTCCCGTGGCTTTGGGGATAAACGGCGGCGAGTCTCTCACGGCGGGGAGCGAGACAAACCCAGTCTCCGGAGCACAAAGGTTCGGGATCAATCCGAACTGTGAAGTCGGAGAGGCCCTTTAGAGAAGCGAGTCCAACGCCGTCCTGAGCTCAGGCCCCATCGACCCCCAGCGGCTTTCTCTCCACACTTTTATCAATTTCAACAATATTTTTGATCGCGTTTTTAAACATAATCCCCAAATTCACACAGAAAAAAACAAAGTTAACCATAAGAATAATAAATGAGGAAAAAAGCAAAACAAACATATATAAATATGTATATTCTACACTTTTAAACAGTACAGACTCTTCTTATTCTGCTTTTTGCCTAAATGTCTCTCTCTCTCTCTTTCTCTCTGTCTCTCTCTTTGTCTCTGTGTCTCTCTCTCTCTCTCCCCCTTTCTCTGTCTCTCTCTCTGTGTCTGTGTATCTCTCTCTCTCTCTCTCCCTTGCTCTCCCTCTCTTTCCCTCTCTCTCTTCCTTGCTCTGTCTCTCTCTCTTTGCCCCTCTCTCTCTCTCCCCCTTGCTCTGTCTCTCTCTCTTTGCCCCTCTCTCTCTCTCCCCCTTGCTCTGTCTCTCTCTCTTTGCCCCTCTCTCTCTCTCCCCCTTGCTCTGTCTCTCTCTCTCTTTGCCCCTCTCTCTCTCTCCCCCTTGCTCTGTCTCTCTCTCTCTTTGCCCCTCTCTCTCTCTCCCCCTTGCTCTGTCTCTCTCTCTCTTTGCCCCTCTCTCTCTCTCCCCCTTGCTCTGTCTCTCTCTCTCTTTGCCCCTCTCTCTCTCTCCCCCTTGCTCTGTCTCTCTCTCTTTGCCCCTCTCTCTCTCTCCCCCTTGCTCTGTCTCTCTCTCTTTCCCTCTCTCTCCCTCTCTCTGTGTGTGTGTGTCTCTCTCTCTCTCCCCCTTGCTCTGTCTCTCTCTTTCTCTCCCTCTCTCCCTCCCTATGTCTCTCTCTTCCTCCCTCCCTCTCTCTCTCTCCCCCTCTTATTCATTTACTTGTTATTTCCATGTTACGTAACAAAAAAGTCACAAAGTAGGAATGTGCTTCGGCCCAAGACTAAAAACAGTAAAAACAGTTCTTATCATATTTTAGCCACTACTATAATTTTATAAACAAGTCCAGTAAGTCCAGACTGAAGACAGTATTTGAGTCTGATCCAGGACTTCCTTCAGACCTGAGCAGGACCGGTGGTACTTAACCCCCGTCACACGTGCTCTGACACCGATAACCATCTTCTTCACACGCCGTCGTCCCACTTCTGTCTTCGCCGTTTGGTCTCGTGCCGTCAGCTCCGGTGGGAGGTGTCACGGCGGCCGGTGATTGGCTCATAATGAGACCGGCACTGTCCCTCATTTGCATATGTTTGCCATTGTCATAGCGGTCACGCAAAGTCACACGCCCGGATTCCTCTGCACACTTAAATAATGTCATGTCCCCATGAGGAACCCGTGGCCCCGCACCGCAACCCCATCACACACACACACACACACACACACACATACGCACGCAGACACACACACACGCACACACACACACAGACACACGCACACACACACACATACGCATGCACACACACACAGGCACACACACACACACACACACACACATACGCACGCACACACACACACAGTATCAACATGACAATCAGCTGGTTCTCAAACAAACGTCAGCGGGCCTTTTCCCTCCCTCATTGTGGGGGGTGGAGGTTTGTGTGGGGGGGTCTCTCATTTGCAGTCGGAGACCCTGTTTTGAATTAATAATAATAATAATAATGCATTGGTTTTATACAGCTTCTTTTTGGACTCTCAAAGTCTCTTCACATTATTATTCTTTCTCTCCAAATACAGTGATGATAAACTAGCCACAGCTGCCCTGGGGCACACTGACAGAAGCCCCTCCCACCACCACCAACCATTCACACACACACCAGACTCATTCTAGGCAATGGAGGTAAAGTGTCTTGCCTAAGGACACAACCACAGTTTGGCACTTTAAAGCCGCAGCCGCCCCACTGTGGCACCTGCTGTTCCCAGAGGTTAAGTGTCTTGCCCATGGACACAACGACAGCAGACAGTGGGAGTTGATGGTGAAAGTCGGGCTCGAACCCACAACCCTCTGACTCAAAGGCCAATGCTCTACCACGCTCTACTGAGCTACTGTCGCCCACTGTTAACCGGTTTATATGACGGTGCGTCCCGCTGTTTTCAGTTGTGATCGATCGTAATTTGAAAGAGCCCTTTGCCCCGGGGCCATGTGTCCGTTTCACTCTGTTCTAACAACTCAGAGATACACGGGGGGGTTTCTCACAAAAGACCCTCTTCACACCAGCTCAGACTATAGTGCAAAAGAAGAGAGCACACTTGGACATATTTACTCTCTCTTTGATTCGTAATTTGAGATAGCTGTCTAATTTTGTGGGTAACAAACTGTTATCTGGTCAGTTTTTATACATCCTAAGTTTATTGTGCAAAGTGTAAAGTTTAAATGAATGTTTTACGAAAGATTGGATTAACAAAACTTATTTACACACATACAGCATTTATATCTCAAACCTTACACTTAAATGCATTTTCCCGACGTTTTGGTGTGTACCGAGCTGAGCCAATGCAAAAACGCCATTGTCTCCAATCCACAGATAACCATCCAACAGCCTAAAAGGCTCTTTGAGCTAACTTACTTTGCACCTGTAAATGATCAAACTGTCCAAGAGATAATCTCCAGTCTGAGCGCCTCCACATGTAGCCTGGATGTACTACCCACTAGATTTCTAAAGTCTGTTCTGAGCAGTCTGTTACCTTCACTCACACAGATAGTAAACATGTCCCTTCATTCTGGAATATTCCCAAAGGCCCTGAAAACTGCAGTCATCAGGCCCCTGCTTAAAAAGAGCAGTCTAGATGCTACGGTACTTAACAACTACCGTCCCATCTCAAATCTGCCATTTATGGGGAAAGTCCTTGAAAAAGTTGTCTACCAACAGCTAAATAGATTTCTTATAATCAACAACTCATTTGATATGTTTCAGTCCGGCTTTAGACCCCACCACAGCACTGAGACTGCTCTCGTCAAGGTTACAAACGATATCCGGCTGAACACTGACGCAGGCAAAGTCTCAATCTTAATCTTGTTAGATCTAAGTACTGCCTTTGACACTGTCGACCATGAGATCCTCTTACAGAGACTAGAGGACTGGGTTGGCGTCGCTGGCACCGCCCTAAGTTGGTTTAGGTCTTACCTTGAAGACAGGAAGTACTTTGTGGAGATTGGAAACTGTGTCTCAGATCATATGGCCCTGACCTGTGGAGTACCACAGGGGTCGATCCTGGGACCTCTTCTTTTCAATCTCTACATGCTGCCGTTAGGTCAGTTAATACGCAGAAACAAAGTTTCCTATCATAACTATGCAGACGACACTCAGATCTATGTCTCACTGACTGCAGGAGAACATGGACCAGTGGACTCACTCCTTCACTGTATCCAACAGATTAGTGAGTGGATGCAAAACAACTTCCTTCAGCTAAACGCAGACAAAACTGAAATGATTGTCTTTGGTCCCCAGAAACAAAGAGAGAGCGTCATCTGTCACCTACAGTCTCTCTCCCTAAAACCTTCAAACAAGGTCAGAAATCTAGGGGTAATACTGGACTCAGACTTAAATTTTAATAGCCACATCAAATCAGTAACATCAGCAGCTTTTTACCATCTAAAAAACATTTCCAGGATCAAAAACATAGTGTCTAAAGCAGACTTGGAGATTCTTATCCATGCATTTGTCTCCAGTAGGTTAGACTACTGCAATGGCCTGCTCACAGGTCTGTCCAAACAGGCTGTAAAACAGCTGCAGTACATTCAAAATGCAGCAGCTCCAGTCCTGACTAGAACCAGGAAGTACGACCACATTAGTCCTGACAAGAACCAGGAAGTACGACCACATTAGTCCAGTCCTCAGGTCTCTGCACTGGCTTCCTGTGGCTCAGAGAATAGACTTTAAAACAGCTCTGCTTGTTACAAGTCTCTCCATGGCCTCGCACCAAAATATATTAGTGACATGTTAGTCCCATATGAACCAGCCCGGACTCTGAGGAGCACAGGGACTGGACTCCTGCTGGGACTCTGAGGAGCACAGGGACTGGACTCCTGTTAGTGCCCAGAGTCAGAACTAAACATGGGGAGGCTGCTTTTCAGATTCATGCTGCTAAAATCTGGAACATTCTTCCTGAAGATGTGAGACAGGCCTCCTCTCTGACTATGTTTAAAACCAAGTTAAAAACTGTGCTGTTTAGCTGTGCATACAACTGAGGGATTTTATATTTTTATCTTTCTTTTTAATGTTCTGTGATTATTTGATTTTAATGCTATCTTGTTCAGCACTTTGAGTTGCCTTGTGTATGAATTGTGCTATACAAATAAACTTGCCTTGCCTTGCCTTGCCTTGCCTTACCGCAAAGAATCATGGGTAATATCCTTCACCAGAGTCCGCTTAGATGCAGACTACGGCAAAGTGTGGATCAAAGGGGGCGGGGCTAAACACTCCCTGGAGAACTGGGACTGCCCCCTACGCACTCGCACCCATCATCAGGAACGCCCAAATGAGGGGCGCCAGGTTGGAAGTGCGAGAAATGGTACAGGGCCTTAAACAACAATCAAGTTTCCACAGATTAAAACCATAAATACCATAAATATAATTAAAAACACGCAGAACAACGAAGCGACAGGAGTCAGGACTATGGATGAACCCGCTGCTATTTTCTGCGAGTTTTACCGTTTCTGTCAAAGTCGGGTCAAAACGGCGAGCGTGTGTGAGTCTGAGGCGCATCCCACGAGTTAATCCAAATTCTGACACCAGCTCGGAGTAATTAATCCCAGATGTAAATATGTTACGCAACAAAAGAAGCAGGCGCACCGAAACAGACAATTATCTCCTCTTATGGCGGCGGCGAGATGCGGCGAGTCTAACCATGTGGAACTGATGGCTTTTTCACCGGGCCTCCGGGCTTCTCCGCGCCGGCTTCTTATTTATTATTTGGATGATTTGCTTATTATTTGATTTTAGAGAAAAGATGGCGACGGCACAGACGAGATTCCTTCAAAGGGAGCGGAGAATCAAAGGGGTTCAGAGTTTAGCTGCGACGGTCCAGATACAGCTCAGAGCGTACTTCTCTTGTGAGGACTTACTTATGGTTAGTTTTATACTTAATTATTATACTTATATATTTATTATACTTATATATTTACAATTATATCTACAACTTTATCCACAGATATATTATCAGAATTATCAAAGTTCTCCGCTCAAAATGGAAGAACGAACAAGAGCAATGATAGTATGTTAGTAAGACAATCATACTAAGGATTTTAATCAGACCACTACGTAGACCAGTCCCAGACCACAATTTAGACCAGTCCCAGACCACAATTTAGACCAGTCTCAGACCACAATAAAAAGCTATATTTTTGTAGACAAGTAAATGTGTTTTTAAATACTGATCTGGTTCCAACTCAAATGATGGACGCTGAACTCTTAGTCACATGGTCTCTCTGTCACATGGTCTCTCTGTCACATGGTCCCATTCCCAAACCAACCCTAAATTATTCAGGCTTTACAAACTTGGTTCCTCCTTTGGCCCCCTCCTTTCCTCCACCTGTGCAGTTTAAGTGAATACATACAACACTGGTAACTTCCTGCACAGACTCCAGTTCACGAAGGCCCAACCGAGGACCTTCCGAGGCCTCTTCCAAACCCATTGCGCCGTCTACATCCACCTCAAAGTTGCTCGAGTTCAGAAACCAGCGAACCAATCTCCCCCATATCAATTGTTTTGCTCCTATAACCACTGATATAATGAACTCCTGTGTCAGACGCCGCCATTTCCGCAGCCAGAGCCACATAATTCAGCCTTTGCAAACACGGCACTTTGCTACGTCCCTCCCCTACGCCTATCCCTTGCTCCTTCGTGCAGCCCCTTCGCCTTAGAGACAGACAGCTTGATTACATGTCACCGCAGTGCACCGCCATCCTCTGTCTGCCTCAGTTATTAAGTGCCGCCGCTGCTTCGCTTCTACCCCCCTCTCCCCGCTCTCTTTCCATCCTTCGGCAACTCCTTCCCACTCCGCGAAAGCAAGCGTGTAGCCCCTGCGTCTTTGCTAGCTTGTCCCGCTCCCGTGTAATGAACGAATCAGCAAGGGATCGCCTCCTTGAAAATGAACTCCTCACTAATACCTCCCCCGTCTGAGGCCTCGGCGAGCAAATAAGCGGCTGCGTAAAAACAAGGAAAAATCAGGTTAGGGGCGAATGAAACATATGTGACGTTAGCGAGCGCGGCTATAAGGCGCTCGGCGGGGAATGAAGGAGCGGGAGAGCGGGCCGAGGGAAGTAAAGTGACTTAAGCAGCGAGTGTTTATTTCGTGAATTGATGTTTGCGTAAATGAGCTGGAAAAATGGAAAGATGGAAGAGAGAGACGAGACAATGCCAAAGATCCCCAAGACATAAGGCGTTAGTGCGAGGCCGGGGGAGAGGGGGGGTTGGGGCGAGCGGCTGTGATTGGCTGTGATTGGCTGTGATTGGCGTGCGACGGGAGCGGGGATATAGCTTCCAAATAACGTCGTGTACCGCGGCATTTACATAAAGCTGGAGTTAGCAGTTTTGCAGCGATACAAAAATAAGCAGCGTTTTGGATCGAACCTTGCGGGGGGGGGGGGTTTCTGAGGTAAAGCTGGAGAGGGTGAAGGTGTCAAAGTCAAGGCCCGGGGGCCAGATCCGGCCGTGACACCGTTTCCAGAGGCCCCTGAGATGATTTTAGATTATTATATTAAATAGAAGCATGATGGTATTTGGCGACAATGGCATGTTATACATTACTAACCTTCTCAAGAAAACAACCATAACATTTAATTCCATAAGAAAAGTTAAGCTGACATGTCATTAGAAGTTAGTTATTTTAATGTTTTTTACGAGTCTTCAATTACATTTCTACTTAAAGATATAAAGGAGGATTTTCCAATTTTCTGAGGAAAGAACCGCCCTCTCCACTTTTTGACCAAATATCTCTGGTCTTATTGGACGAGCACAAGTCACCAGAATGATTGACAGTTGGGAGGAGCAATAGTCTTGATGATCCACCCGGAAGTAGAAAATCTTCCTAAATACCTTCAATATTTGGTCCAGTTTTGGTTCAGTTTTGGTTCAGTTTTGGTCCAGTTTTGGTTCAGTTTTGGTCCAGTTTTGGTCCAGTTTTGGTTCAGTTTTGGTCCAGTTTTGGTCCAGTTTTGGTCCAGTTTTGGTTCAATTTTGGTCCAGTTTTGGTCCAGTTTTGGTTCAGTTTTGGTTCAGTTTTGGTTCAGTTTTGGTCCAGTTTTGGTCCAGTTTTGGTCCAGTTTTGGTTCAGTTTTGGTTCAGTTTTGGTTCAGTTCACAGTAACTGAATTAATTCTAATCAGAAAAGAACGTCTGATCCAACTAATGTGAAACAAGTCGTTTATACAAATACCTTCATATTCCACATTTTTAAATAAATGAAACCCAGTTGTTCTTCCGGCCCCAGACCTTTCCTGCTGTAGAGGGGGAAGGTGACGGAGAATCAGGTAAAAGCCAACAACCTAAACAAAGATTGGCTTCAAATTCTGGTGTCATTTTTACTGTGGTCGATCTGCTGTGTTTTGTGATTTGTTAGATACCTCAGCTTTAAGTTAGATACCTCAGCTTTAAGTTAGATACCTCAGCTTTAAGTTAGATACCTCAGCTTTAAGTTAGATACCTCAGTTTTAAGTTGGATACCTCAGCTTTAAGTTAGATACCTCAGCTTTAAGTTAGATACCTCAGCTTTAAGTTAGATACCTCAGCTTTAAGTTAGATACCTCAGTTTTAAGTTGGATACCTCAGCTTTAAGTTAGATACCTCAGCTTTAAGTTAGATACCTCAGCTTTAAGTTAGATACCTCAGCTTTAAGTTAGATACCTCAGTTTTAAGTTAGATACCTCAGCTTTAAGTTAGATACCTCAGCTTTAAGTTAGATACCTCAGCTTTAAGTTAGATACCTCAGCTTTAAGTTAGATACCTCAGTTTTAAGTTGGATACCTCAGCTTTAAGTTAGATACCTCAGCTTTAAGTTAGATACCTCAGCTTTAAGTTAGATACCCCAGCTTTAAGTTAGATACCTACTACTACTACTGCTACTGCTACTACTACTGCTACTGCTACTACTACTGCTACGACTGCTGCTACTACTACTACTACTACTGCTACTACTACTGATACTACTGCTACTGCTACTACAGTACTACTGCTATTGCTACTACTACTACTACTACTACTGCTACTGCTGCTACTACTACTACTGCTATTGCTACTACTACTACCACTACTGCTACTGCTGCTACTACTACTACTGATACTACTGCTACTACTACTAATTCTACTACCACTGCTACTTCAATCTATCAACATCTATTTCAGAACCAAACAAACAAACTTGTAGCCGACAGGAGCAGACTTATATTTACTTCTGTAATTGATTGTTCTCTCTCTCTGTCTCCATCATAAACTTCCAGGGCTCCACCTTTTGCCTCGTTTCACTTCAGATTCCCCCAAAGACCTTCCTCTCACACATTCCAACAATCACAGCCCTTTTTATTTTGCGATTACACATTTAGCAGTAATTCATTCCAACAACTTCTCCACTTTTCGACACCTCCAGGACAATATTCTGGTTTCTTCAGTAAAAACCGGTGGCGTGTCCTTTGACTGTTCATGTTTTGAGTTTCTCGCTCTGACCTGTTTTCTTCACGCAATTAGCGCTAACACAGAAGCCGAGCCTTTCTGTTGCTGCTGGAGAGAAACCTGGGGGTCGTATTTCGTTGGCGTTGCATCAGGAGTTAGCTTAGCCCCCTCCTCTCGGTGTTGGTCCCTTCTCCTCCTTCGTCCTCTACTTCTACTACTTTTCTTTCTACTTCTACTTTTTCTTCTTCCCTAACCCTTCTTCTCCTCCTTCTTCTTCTTCTTCCTCTTCTTCTTCTCCTTCTCCTTCTTCTTCTTGTTCCTCTTCTTCTCCTTCTTCTTCTCCTTCTCTTTCTTCTTCTTCTCTTCTTCTTCTCCTTCTTTTTCTTCTCTTCTCTTGTCGGTGTCCCCCCCTCTTCTTCTTCTTCTCCTTCTTCTTCTTCTCTTCTTCTTCTCCTCCTTCTTCTTCTCTTCTTCTTCTTCTTCTTCTCCTTCTTCTTCTCTTCTTCTTCTTCTTCTTCTTCTCCTTCTCTTCTTCTTCTTCTTCTTCTTTTCTTCTCCTCCTTCTTCTTCTCCTTCTTCTTCTTCTCTTCTTCTTCTCCTTCTTCTCCTTCTTCTTCTTCTCTTCTTCTTCTCCGTCTTCTTCTCCTCCTTCTCCTTCTTCCTCTCCTTCTCCTTATCCTCCCTCTTCTCCTTCTTCTTCTTCTTCTCCTTCTTCTTCCCCTTCTTCTTCTTCTCCTTAGCCTTCTTCTTCTCCTTCTTCTTCGTCTTCTTCTCCTTCTTCTCCTCCTTCTCCTTCTTCCTCTCCTTCTCCTTATCCTCCTTCTTCTCCTTCTTCTCCTCCTTCTTCTCCTTTGCCCGGTTGGGTGCCGCTGATGATATTTGTCAGAAGTGGGGTTAGCTTAGCGCTGTCAGTCGGTCGTTAAAAGAAAATGAATCCAGTGTGAGTCTCTCAGAGCCGTTTAAGGAGTGACGAAGTGCTAAGTGCACAGTGTCATCTGCAAAGTGACAAAGCAAGACGCCATTTTCTGTTTTTCAATCACCGAGATGCGAAGACACTCTGCGTTAACTATTTATGGATGCTGCTTTTTAGACAAGGTTTTGTTCTTTTTGGAGTTTGAACTTTGGGTTTTGGTCGTGGCTCTGTGTGAAATCTGCCGAGACAAGCCATTACCTGCTCCTTCGCTCCGGCTCAGGACCCTCCGCCGGGTCTGTCAGTCCTGGGGCAAGTCTGAATTCATCGGATTATACTAAAATGTTGCGTAAATATTGAGTATTATGTGGAGTATGTTTGAGTATTTTGTGGGGTATGGTTGAGTATTTTGCGGAGTATGTTTGAGTATTTTGTGGAGTATGAGTATTTTGTGGAGTATGTTTGAGTATTTTGTGGAGTATTTTTGAGTATTTTGTGGAGTATGTTTGAGTATTTTGCGGAGTATGGTTGAGTATTTTGTGGAGTATGAATATTTTGCGGAGTATGAGTATTTTGTGGAGTATGTTTGAGTATTTTGTGGAGTATGTTTGAGTATTTTGTGGAGTATGAATATTTTGCGGAGTATGAGTATTTTGCGGTGTATGTTTGAGTATTTTGTGGAGTATGAGTATTTTGTGAAGTATGTTTGAGTATTTTGTGGAGTATGTTTTAGTATTTTGTGGAGTATGGTTGGTTTTTTCTGTTGTAAAATTTTTGTCCGATTGTAAAATGTGTTTGATCTTTGGGACAGGAAATAAACTTTAAATAGTACAAATTATTTTTCTTCTTCTCCTCCACCTTCTTCTTCTTCTCCTTCTTCTTTTTCTTCTTCTCCTCCTCCTCCTCCTCCTCCTCCTCCCCTCCTTCTTTAGAGGAGAATAACCGGACACATGTTTTTCTCCGCTCAGTTGCATAAAGTGAAAGGGTTTGATGAAGAAAACCCTGAATGTGCTGTGGTGATGAATCTGCCTCGTCTTCATCATCGCAGTCACATTGATCAGACCATTTCACAGATTTCCCTCCGGATTCCACTCCTCGCAATTAGTGCCAGCTCCTATTTTCCCATCATGCACTGCAAAGGATGTGTTTTAATATCACTGGACGGTGCGTTTTGTGCTAATTCTCTTTCATTTCTTTCATTTTCTGTATTTCAAACATGCTCAAGATTTACAAACAATGACTCACAACTGTTTAAATAGTAATAATAGAATATCATGATAATTAAATATTATTATAATTTAAATAAACAAATCAAAATGCCTCTAAATCATTTATATTAAAATCGTTAATTTTATTGTTTAATTTAAATTGAATTATTTTTTAACCAATAAAACCATTTGTGGGTTTTTTTCATACAAACTTGGTAAAGTGACATCGCTGTAGTTTTATTTTGGTCAAATGACAAACAATTCTTATGAACTTATTTTTAAACTATTAAACGTCATAGCAGCACACTGAAAAAACTCCCATTAGAATTGTATTTGTGATTTTCTCGCTTAAACCAAGGAAATGTCACTATACAGTCTGCAAGATTACCCCGCTAACTGCTGCTAACCACTGGTAACTGCTGCTAACCACTGCTAACTGCTGCTAACCACTGGTAACTGCTGCTAACCACTGCTAACTGCTGCTAACCACTGGTAACTGCTGCTAACCACTGGTAACTGCTGCTAACCACTGGTAACTACTGCTAACTGCTGCTAACTGCTGCTAACCACTGGTAACTGCTGCTAACCACTGGTAACTGCTGCTAACCACTGGTAACCACTGCTAACTGCTGCTAACCACTGGTAACTGCTGCTAACCACTGGTAACTGCTGCTAACCACTGGTAACTACTGCTAACTGCTGCTAACTACTGCTAACTGCTGCTAACCACTGCTAACTGCTGCTAACCACTGGTAACTGCTGCTAACCACTGGTAACTACTGCTAACCACTGGTAACTACTGCTAACCACTGGTAACTACTGCTAACTGCTGCTAACTGCTGCTAACCACTGGTAACTGCTGCTAACCACTGGTAACTGCTGCTAACCACTGGTAACTACTGCTAACTGCTGCTAACTACTGCTAACTGCTGCTAACTGCTGCTAACCACTGGTAACTACTGCTAACCACTGGTAACTACTGCTAACCACTGGTAACTACTGCTAACTGCTGCTAACTGCTGCTAACCACTGGTAACTGCTGCTAACCACTGGTAACTGCTGCTAACCACTGGTAACTGCTGCTAACCACTGGTAACTACTGCTAACTACTGCTAACTGCTGCTAACTGCTGCTAACCACTGCTAACTGCTGCTAACCACTGGTAACTGCTGCTAACCACTGGTAACTGCTGCTAACCACTGGTAACTACTGCTAACCACTGGTAACTACTGCTAACTGCTGCTAACCACTGGTAACCACTGGTAACTACTGCTAACTGCTGCTAACCACTGGTAACTACTGCTAACTGCTGCTAACTACTGCTAACTGCTGCTAACCACTGGTAACTACTGCTAACTGCTGCTAACTACTGCTATCTGCTGCTAACTGCTGCTAACTACTGCTAACTGCTGCTAACTACTGCTAACTGCTGCTAACCACTGGTAACTACTGCTAACTGCTGCTAACCACTGATAACTGCTGCTAACTTATGCTAACCACTGCAAACCGTTGCTAACTGCTACTAACCACTGCAAACTACTGCTAACTGCTGCTAACTGCTTCTAACTGCTGCTAACTTATGCTAACCACTGCAAACCGTTGCTAACTGCTACTAACTGCTGCTAACTGCTGCTAACCACTGCTAACTGTTGCTAGCTGCCGTGCTAAGTATATCTCCTGCATGTAAAGCACATCTCTTACAGTTTCTCATTAGGGAAGAGCCCTCCGTCTTCACAATGCTGTAGCGTGTCATGGGGTCGGTCCCCTCCAGGCCTGGTCTCTGAGGACTCTCTAAAGACCGGCAGCCGTGAAGAAGTCTTTATCGATCTCCTCTCTCTCTCTCCTCTTCCTCCATCTCTCTCTCCTCTTCCTCCTCTCTCTCTCTCCTCTTCCTCCATCTCTCTCTCTCCTCTTCCTCCATCTCTCTCTCCTCTTCCTCCTCTCTCTCTCTCCTCTTCCTCCATCTCTCTCTCTCCTCTTCCTCCATCTCTCTCTCCTCTTCCTCCATCTCTCTCTCCTCTTCCTCCATCTCTCTCTCTCCTCTTCCTCCATCTCCATCTCTCCTCTTCCTCCATCTCTCTCTCCTCTTCCTCCATCTCTCCTCTTCCTCCTCTCTCTCTCTCCTCTTCCTCCATCTCTCTCTCTCCTCTTCCTCCATCTCTCTCTCCTCTTCCTCCATCTCTCTCTCCTCTTCCTCCATCTCTCTCTCTCCTCTTCCTCCATCTCCATCTCTCCTCTTCCTCCATCTCTCTCTCCTCTTCCTCCATCTCTCCTCTTCCTCCTCTCTCTCTCTCCTCTTCCTCCATCTCTCTCTCCTCTTCCTCCATCTCTCTCTCCTCTTCCTCCATCTCTCTCTCCTCTTCCTCCATCTCTCTCTCCTCTTCCTCCATCTCTCTCTCCTCTTCCTCCATCTCTCTCTCTCCTCTTCCTCCATCTCCATCTCTCCTCTTCCTCCATCTCTCCTCTTCCTCCATCTCTCTCTCCTCTTCCTCCATCTCTCTCTCTCCTCTTCCTCCATCTCTCTCTCCTCTTCCTCCATCTCTCTCTCCTCTTCCTCCATCTCTCTCTCCCCTCTTCCTCCATCTCTCTCTCTCCTCTTCCTCCATCTCCATCTCTCCTCTTCCTCCATCTCTCTCTCCTCTTCTTCCTCCATCTCTCTCTCCTCTTCCTCCATCTCTCTCTCCTCTTCCTCCATCTCTCTCTCCTCTTCCTCCATCTCTCTCTCTCCTCTTCCTCCATCTCCATCTCTCCTCTTCCTCCATCTCTCTCTCCTCTTCCTCCATCTCTCTCTCCTCTTCCTCCATCTCTCTCTCCTCTTCCTCCATCTCCATCTCTCCTCTTCCTCCATCTCTCTCTCCTCTTCCTCCATCTCTCTCTCTCCTCTTCCTCCATCTCCATCTCTCCTCTTCCTCCATCTCCATCTCTCCTCTTCCTCCATCTCTCTCTCCTCTTCCTCCATCTCTCCTCTTCCTCCTCTCTCTCTCTCCTCTTCCTCCATCTCTCTCTCCTCTTCCTCCATCTCTCTCTCCTCTTCCTCCATCTCTCTCTCCTCTTCCTCCATCTCTCTCTCCTCTTCCTCCATCTCTCTCTCCCTCTTCCTCCATCTCTCTCTCTCCTCTTCCTCCATCTCCATCTCTCCTCTTCCTCCATCTCTCCTCTTCCTCCATCTCTCTCTCCTCTTCCTCCATCTCTCTCTCTCCTCTTTCCTCCATCTCTCTCTCCTCTTCCTCCATCTCTCTCTCCTCTTCCTCCATCTCTCTCTCCTCTTCCTCCATCTCTCTCTCTCCTCTTCCTCCTCCATCTCCATCTCTCCTCTTCCTCCATCTCTCTCTCCTCTTCCTCCATCTCTCTCTCCTCTTCCTCCATCTCCTCTCCTCTTTCCTCCATCTCTCTCTCCTCTTCCTCCATCTCTCTCTCTCCTCTTCCTCCATCTCCATCTCTCCTCTTCCTCCATCTCTCTCTCCCTCTTCCTCCATCTCTCTCTCCTCTTCCTCCATCTCTCTCTCCCTCTTCCTCCATCTCCATCTCTCCTCTTCCTCCATCTCTCTCTCCTCTTCCTCCATCTCTCTCTCTCCTCTTCCTCCATCTCCATCTCTCCTCTTCCTCCCTCTCTCTCTCTCCTCTTCCTCCATCTCTCTCTCTCCTCTTCCTCCATCTCTCTCTCCTCTTCCTCCATCTCTCTCTCCTCTTCCTCCATCTCTCTCTCTCCTCTTCCTCCATCTCTCTCTCCTCTTCTCCATCTCTCTCTCCTCTTCCTCCATCTCTCTCTCCTCTTCCTCCATCTCTCTCTCTCTCTTCCTCCATCTCTCTCTCCTCTTCCTCCATCTCTCTCTCCTCTTCCTCCATCTCTCTCTCCTCTTCCTCCATCTCTCTCTCTCCTCTTCCTCCATCTCCATCTCTCCTCTTCCTCCATTCTCTCTCTCTCTCTCTCTCCTCTCTCTCTCTCTCTTCCTCCATCTCCTCTCTCCTCTCTCCTCTCCTCCATCTCTCTCCTCTTCCTCCATCTCTCTCTCCTCTCCTCCATCTCTCTCTCCTCTTCCTCCATCTCTCTCTCTCTCCTCCTCCTCTCTCTCTCCTCTTCCTCCTCCTCTCTCTCTCTCCTCTTCCTCCATCTCTCTCTCCTCTTCCTCCATCTCTCTCTCCTCTTCCTCCATCTCTCTCTCCTCTCTCCTCTCTCTCTCTCTCTCATCTCTCTCTCCTCTTCTCCATCTCTCTCTCTTCCTCCATCTCTCTCTCCTCTTCCTCCATCTCTCTCTCTCCTCTTCCTCCATCCCCTCTCCATCTCTCCTCTTCCTCCATCTCTCTCTCTCCTCTTCCTCCATCTCCATCTCTCTCTCTCTTCCTCCATCTCTCTCTCTCCTCTTCCTCCATCTCCATCTCTCCTCTTCCTCCATCTCTCTCTCCTCTTCCTCCATCTCTCTCGCCTCTTCCTCCATCTCTCTCTCCTCTTCCTCCATCTCTCTCTCCTCTTCCTCCATCTCTCTCTCCTCTTCCTCCATCTCTCTCTCTCCTCTTCCTCCATCTCCATCTCTCCTCTTCCTCCATCTCTCTCTCCTCTTCCTCCATCTCTCTCTCCTCTTCCTCCATCTCTCTCTCCTCTTCCTCCATCTCCATCTCTCCTCTTCCTCCATCTCTCTCTCTCCTCTTCCTCCATCTCTCTCTCCTCTTCCTCCCTCTCTCCTCCTGCTCCCATTACCGTAAAAAATCACATCTCGGGTCTTAACCACCGCCTGCAGTCAAATTGGATTGGGCAAGCGTCACTTAAGAAGATCACATTTTTCGTGCTTTTTTTTGTTTTTTGTTTTTTGTTTTTTTTTCTTGTGGTCAGACGCCAGAAGAAGAAGAAGAAGAAGAATAAGCAGAAGAAGCAGAAGCAGAGAGAGGGTAGACCCGGTGTGGAGCTGGAGGCATGTGCCATATACTGTAATGAGAACGCCATTTCCCACCGCCGTCCCATGCACACTGAGAATTATTACAGCGGGGCCTCACGGTATCCCACAATGCACTGGGGGGAGATGTCATCGCCGAGCTGGATCCATATATCATCGCGGGGGTAAAGATGGCGGAGGCGAGAGGCAAATGCGAGCGGGAGAGATGCATTTAATCAAGCCGTATTAAAGGAATGGGATTTGGCGACGGTGGGAGTTTTTGACATTTGGAACAAAAATTCGATGGAAGTCGTCGACAGGAAATATCTCGAGTCACGCGTGAAAAGACGAGAATAAGAGTTTTATTCTAGATTTAGCTGTTTTTTTTATTTCTGCTCATGCTGCAGGTGGCACTGGTTTGGAAGTTAAAGTAGATCAAGAAACTAATGTTACTGAAAATCAACAAGGCCTTCTGTGTTTGTTTGTGTTACAGACAAGAGTGTGTATGGAAGATTTTATGTGTCGTCAGATTTAGAATTTTTTTTAGCTTGAATTTTTCCGTTTGAAATAGTTAACCCTGAAAAAACAAGTTTGAATATTTTTATCTTTACTTTTCAGTCACTAAAAATTCAGTTTACAAATTTAAATGTGATTAAAATTTCAAAATGACATATTCACCCTCAAAATATTCAATATATATATTTTTTCAATGTAAAAAAAAACAGACGGATTATTGGTTCCATCAGAAATTGAATTTTAAATGGACCTGAATTCATCTATTTGAATGTTTTTATCTAACTACAACACCCGCCTCCCGCGCTCTCTGATTGGTCGGTCGAAATTCAACCGATTGTAATCACTAACCCAGGGACTAGACCCAGACGTTACCTGCAGGACATGATGATTGAGCGGTGATTACGGATGGATAAGGCTACTGTGGTTTTTAATGATGATTCTTTATAGTTTCTGGTTCCGCTCAGTCTCCTCCTGTATAAACCGTGCTATACCAATAACCTGTGCTTACATAATCTTCCTAATCGCCGTCGCTCTCACTGCGGCTGTATAATGTATAATCTAATGGTTGTGACGGCGGCTCGTCCACTGAGGCCGCGGTGGAGAGAGTGGCCGCACCGGGACCCGCTCGGCCTTCTCCTGCGCCAGGTTCATTTCTACTCGAGTAACTCGTTTGTCACATACATCAGAGAGAGTCGCGATCACATGTCCTGCTGCTGCTCTGTGTTCAGATAATGAGGCCCTTTCTACTGCTCCCTGATCTCTGACCGTTGGCCTTTGAGAGCAGCAGTATTAGTAGTAGCAGTAGTAGTAGTAGTTGTAGTAGTAGTAGTAGTAGTAGTAGTAGTAGTAGTAATAATGAAAAAAAAATTTAAAATAATGAAATAATTGTTAATAATAATGAAATAATGGTTAATATTAATTAAATAGTGGTTAATAAAAATGAAATAATAATAATAATGAAATAATGGTTAATAATAATGAAATAATGGTTAATATTAATTAAATAGTGGTTAATAAAAATGAAATAATAATTAATAAAAATGAAATAATAATTAATAATAATGAAATAATGGTTAATAATAATGAAATAATGGTTAATATTAATTAAATAGTGGTTAATAAAAATGAAATAATAATTAATAAAAATGAAATAATAATTAATAATAATGAAATAATGGTTAATAATAATTCAATAATGGTTAATAATAATGTGACAGTGCGGGCATCGCTGGTTGTTTCGTCTTCGTTCGTCTCATTCCCAAAAAACATGAATTTGTTTTGGACCTAGTGGATTATACAAAAGAAATGACTGCAATAAAATAAAATAAAAAATAATGATAATAATGTGTTTTTTTTTATACTGTAGCACTTTTTTGTGACACTCAGACACTTCACATGTTCTTATTCAAGGTGGTGATAAACTACTGCTGTTATGCTAAAGTTAGAGCATAAAATATATAGCTTCAGCATAATAAAGACCCAAGAATTCAGTATAAAATGTCTTGAATCCAGTTCAGAGTTCAGAGTTCAGACCGAGTTGAAATAATTTAAATAATAGTTAATAATCAGACGTCTCTGCTTCTCCAACTTCTTCTTCTCTTGTCTCGTCTCATCTTGTCTCTCTCTCTCTCTCTCTCTCTCTCCCCCTCCCTCCCCCTCTCTCTCTCCCTCACTCTCTCTCTCCCTCTCTCCCCCCCCCTCTCCCTCCCTCCCCCCCTCTCTCCCTCTCTCCCCCCCTCTCTCCCTCTCTCTCCCCCCCCCCTCCCTCCCTCCCCCCCTCTCTCTCTCTCCCCCCCTCTCTCTCTCCCTCTCTCTCTCTCTGAATAACATGACATTGTTTGGGACGCTTTATGCAGTTTTCGGGCTCTGAAGGTTGTTAGCGAGAATCTAGTTTTTAGTTTTTCTGACACTTTCACACTTTACTTTTCCACAAAAACAAGTGAGAGAAAGTGCTCCGTGTTTCAGTCCTGACAAAAACTACTGCTCTGAGAGTCCTGCGGTTGTTTGGACGAGTTTCCGGACTTTGGGCTGAGCCAGTGTCACTTCCTCTCCACCGCAATGTGAGACCATAGACTGTTGCTGTGTGTGTGTGGAGCTAATCTCACTGGTAAAGTACCATGTGGCACAGAACTAAGACAGGTCTCGTTATGATTCTCAAATCATTAACGACAAAACAAGTAATAAAACCAGGATTTCTATCTTTGTGAAAAAGGTGTTGGTTATAGATTTGTTGTTGACTAAACTCTTGTCTATTCAGCTGTTATGGTCCCAGCTGGATTCGTCTGCATATCTGGCAACCTGAGTCAGGGAGAGTGGGAGAGGCTGCAGTTCCACTTTGGGCCACATGTTTTTACACACTGCTCCTTTAACCCTATTTTTACATTTAGAGAATTAGTTTTAGGCAATAATAACATACACATAGAAGCCATTGGTCCTGAGAGATGTTTATAAATGTGTTAACTCATTGACTGCAGCCGTTTTTGATAATTTCACGGACTTTCAAGACCCACAAAATATTGTGTGCTATGACCATGTGAAATATGAAACCAGATTCTGAAAGACTGGACTGTCTACTTTCATCAGCAAAATTAAGTTGGTTTCTAGTTAGTTTTGCGCTCCTGTAATCCCCAGTCGAATACAGGGAAGTTTGACAGAAATCACCGACATCAGACAAATACGTCAATGGCAGTCACTGAGTTAAAATGTCCTGAAAACCAGTGGGAGAAAATTCATAAAAAGCTCAAAAACATCCTGTGAAACTATAATCTTCCAGCGTGTCCGTGTCTGCGACCCTGACCCCTGTTCTTGGAGCGATCTTGCCCGTAGTCCTCGAGTCCAGGACTTTTCCGCGGCTTCATGAATCAAAGTCTGGCTGATGTTTGGGCTGCGTTCAAAGCCGAGCAGGGGCAGCATGTTTGTTTGGCCCCGGGATCTGAGGCGGCTCAGAGGCCCAGCTTTAATCAGAATAACCTGCCCTGCTCTAATGAGGTTTCTCAGACGTTTTAATGGGAACGCAGCCTCGGGTTTGAAACATAAATTTGATGTTTACATGAAAAAGCAGCATTGTTACAACACGCCGAGATTAGTGCGAGACTATCGGCCGGGGAGAGAGCGGCGGAGTCCGTGGGAAAGTCTGAGGCAAAGTGATCGGAATCAATCGGACGGAAGTGGTTTTACTTCAATGTATTTGTGTGTAGTGTTAAATCACAGCAGCAGTCACGCAGTTCCAACAGGACTGAGGCTGTAGACCCAGGACTGAGGCTGTAGACCCGGGACTGAGGCTGTAGACCCAGGACTGAGGCTGTAGACCCAGGACTGAGGCTGTAGACCCAGGACTGAGGCTGTAGACCCGGGACTGAGGCTGTAGACCCGGGACTGAGGCTGTAGACCCAGGACTGAGGCTGTAGACCCGGGACTGAGGCTGTAGACCCAGGACTGAGGCTGTAGACCCAGGACTGAAGCTGTAGACCCAGGACTGAGGCTGTAGACCCAGGACTGAGGCTGTAGACCCAGGACTGAGGCTGTAGACCCAGGACTGAGGCTGTAGACCCAGGACTGAAGCTGTAGACCCAGGACTGAAGCTGTAGACCCAGGACTGAGACTGTAGACCCAGGACTGAGGCTGTAGACCCAGGACTGAGGCTGTAGACCCAGGACTGAGGCTGTATAGACCCAGGACTGAGGCTGTAGACCCAGGACTGAGGCTGTAGACCCAGGACTGAGGCTGTAGATCCAGGACTGAGGCTGTAGACCCAGGACTGAGGCTGTAGACCCAGGACTGAGGCTGTAGACCCAGGACTGAGGCTGTAGACCCAGGACTGAGGCTGTATAGACCCAGGACTGAGGCTGTAGACCCAGGACTGAGGCTGTAGACCCAGGACTGAGGCTGTAGACCCAGGACTGAGGCTGTAGACCCAGGACTGAGGCTGTATAGACCCAGGACTGAGGCTGTAGATCCAGGACTGAGGCTGTATAGACCCAGGACTGAGGCTGTAGACCCAGGACTGAGGCTGTAGCCCCAGGACTGAGGCTGTAGATCCAGGACTGAGGCTGTAGACCCAGGACTGAGGCTGTAGACCCAGGACTGAGGCTGTAGACCCAGGACTGAGGCTGTAGACTCGGGGCTTTCACTTCTAACCAACACAAAAAGCAGGATTTCTATCTTTGTGAAAAAGGTGTTGGTTATAGATTTGTTGTTGACTAAACTATCTGACACAAAAGATACAGAAAGTAAATGAATGAATGAAACTCTTTATACTTCCATGGTCAGATTAATTGAAGCTGAAGTTTATTGACGCGTTTAGACCAATGTTGTCCGGATAAGAACTTTTGGAATCATGTTTTCAACTCTATTTGTATTTACAGACGTTTATTTTCTCACATATGGCGCTAATGTCGCTGTGGTGTGCAAATCCCAGAATCCTGTCAAAACTGATTTAAAATCCAGGTTGTCAGCCTTAAAAAGTGTCTCGGACTCAGACAGAACGGCCGGCTGGATGTACAGTCGCAGATTTGTGCCGACCGTTCCAGTTAGCATTAGCGCCGCCGAAGCTAACAACAAACCCAGGTCTGTTGTTGATGAAGGAACAATGTCGTAACACAGCAAAGCGACTTTTTAACCACATTGTCACAGATTGCGTGACTTTGTCGAGCTCTTTCTCTTTGATGCCAGAGCGACGTCGTCTTCCGGCTAAAGTCTGAACCAAAGACTTTTTTTTTTTGTCATAGTGCGTTCTGTCGTAGCAGGTGGTACTCTCTGTTACCCCACTCTTCAGAAGTCCACAAAAACATCAGAAGTCTTGAGTTCCGATGCCCCCGCGATGCTACCAGGCATTGTGTAATGACAGTAGGAAGTGGAAAAGTGGAGCACTGGGAAGAAAGATTAAAAAGTTTACGTAAAAAAGAAAAGATGAAACGCTTTTTTGGGGGAGAAAAAAATACTTGTACAAGGGCAAGATCCTGGAGAATAGTGGGATTAGGTCAGAATGAGCTGTAGAGAGTCCGGGCAGAGAAGGGAACAGCAGGAGACCGGTTCTTTCAAATCCATCCTCTCCCTTCTCTCTCTCTCTCTCTCTCTCTTCCGTCGCTCTTTTCTCATCTCGATAATGGAGCATTTCCTTAATTGGCCGAGCGTAGTTTAGGGGCTCGGGTTTTGTTTGCCAACACGTCAGCACTAGAATTATTTCCAGTGCATTTACAGCCGAGTGTTGCTTGGTTGGCTCATTAAAAGCCTCCTGCCCAGATCGAGAGCTTTGCACATACGTCCGGGGCTGCGAGAGAGAAGGAGAGCGGGAAAGTAAATAAATAAATAAGCGAACGAGGATGGAGGCCAAACGCGAAACCACTCCACTTTTGCAACAACATAAACACGACTGCTTACTCCTGTCTGCCTGTCACGGCTGCGCAGGGAAAATAATAGCCCCGGAAACGAACATAGTTGCTTGGAAATGTGCGTCTGTAGGAAATGGCAAGACAGCCGAGTTATTAAGGTGATAGTCGCAGAGCCGCGGGTGAGAATCCGTCACAGAGACAGATGCGGAGGCAATAACGCTGATGGCTCTGAAGTGGTTAACTAATGAGAGCAATGTTGGAATGATTTTGTTGGGAATTTGGAAGAAAAAATGTGCCAGGAATACTGCCTCTTCTGTGCAATGGGTTTGACTGGCCAGAGAGAAACCAGAGAGAGAGACCAGAGAGAGACTAGAGAGAGACTAAAGAGAGACCAGATGGAGACTAGAGAGGGACCAGAGAGAGGCCGGAGAGAAACAAGAGAGAGACCAGATGGAGACTAGAGAGAGACCAGAGAGAGACCAGAGAGAGAGAGAGAGAGGAGAGAGACTAGAGAGACCAGATGGAGACTAGAGAGAGACCAGAGAGAGACCAGATGGAGACTAGAGAGAGACCAGAGAGAGAGGAGAGAGACCAGAGAGAGACCAGAGAGAGACCAAAGAGAGACTAGAGAAAGACCAGAGAGAAACCAGAGAGAGACCAGATGGAGACTAGAGAGAGACTAAAGAGAGACCAGAGAGAAAGGAGAGGCCAGAGAGAGACCAGAGAGAGACCAGAGAGAGACAGGAGAGAGACCAGAGAGACACCAGAGAGAGACCAGAGAGAGACCCAGAGAGAGACCAGAGAGAGACCAGAGAGAGACCAGAGAGAGACCAGAGAGAGACCAGAGAGAGACCAGAGAGAGACAAGAGAGAGACCAGAGAGAGACCAGAGAGAGAGCAGAGAGAGACCAGAGAGAGACCAGAGAGAGACCAGAGAGAGACCAGTGAGAGAGAGGAGAGAGACCAGAGAGAGACCAGTGAGAGAGAGGAGAGAGACCAGAGAGAGACCAGAGAGAGCCCAGAGAGAGACCAGAGAGAGCCCAGAGAGAGACCAGAGAGAGACAAGAGAGAGACAAGAGAGAGACCAGAGAGAGCCCAGAGAGAGCCCAGAGAGAGACCAGAGAGAGACCAGTGAGAGAGAGACCAGAGAGAGACCAGAGAGAGACCAGAGAGAGACCAGAGAGAGACCAGAGAGAGACCAGAGAGAGACCAGAGAGAGACCGGAGAGAGACCAGAGAGAGACCGGAGAGAGACCAGAGAGAGACCTGAGAGAGAGACCGGAGAGAGACCAGAGAGAGACCTGAGAGAGAGACCAGAGAGAGACCAGAGAGAGACCAGAGAGAGACCAGAGAGAGACCGGAGAGAGACCAGAGAGAGACCGGAGAGAGACCAGAGAGAGACCTGAGAGAGAGACCGGAGAGAGACCAGAGAGAGACCAGAGAGAGACCAGAGAGAGACCAGACCAAATGACAGTAATTTGGAACACAAACGGCCTCTTCTGTGGAATCTGTTAAAGTCTGCATGTCTGTTGTGTTACAGGTGTAATTAAAAGGCGTATAAACGTGTGTTGTTTGCGGGGAGTAGGATTTGGAATTGCAAATGTGTTATTTTGTCTCGTCATTAATCATTTTATCGGGGCTTATGTGGTTGTTTTTGTGTAACAGCTCGAGTAGCGATAGATGTGGATTAGTCATGTTTCCTTTTCCATCTCTGGCAAAAAGGAAAAATAACCAAACGATCACACACCTTTCTGTTGGGATTTATACAAGGTTTTAGTTAAGAGAGAGAGAGAGAGAGAGAGAGACAGAGAGAGAGAGATCAGAATGAAACTAGAGAGAGACCAGAGAGAGAGGAGAGACCAAAGAGAGACCAGAGAGAGAAAGAAGAGACCACAGAGAGAGACCAGAGAGAGAGAGATAGGAGAGACCACGGAGAGAGACCAGAGAGAGAGAGAGAGAGGAGAGACCAAAGAGAGACCAGAGAGAGAGAGGAGAGACCACGGAGAGAGACCAGAGAGAGAGAGAGAGGAGAGACCAAAGAGAGACCAGAGAGAGACTAGGGCGAAACCAGAGAGAGAGGAGAGACCAAAGAGAGAGACCAGAGAGAGACCAGAGAGAGACCACAGAGAGAGACCAGAGAGAGACCACAGAGAGAGACCAGAGAGAAACTAGGGAGAGCAAGGAGAGACCAAAGAGAAAGACCAGAGAGAGAGGAGAGACCACAGAGAGAGACCAGAGAGAGAGGAGAGACCAGAGAGAGAGGAGAGACCAGAGAGCTGTTCCCCATCTCTGAGACAAAAATCTTAGCAAGAAAGCGACAAATTGGTTTCTGACTCTCTCCATGTTTTGAGAGATTGTCAGAAAAAACATAAAACCACATAAACACTCAGATCATTTCCCGATAGCACCGCCCGTCCTTCTGCACGCCGTAAAAAATACAAACGCACCCGTACCTTACACCCTCCGCCATTGTAGAGCCGCGGTTACGACCACGCGTAACTCGGCGATCAGAGACGAGGCCTAAAACTCACTTATCTCCGATGTGTTAAAAACCGCTCGCCAACCCCTCGATATGTTTGCTCTTATGGTTTTCTGCCGTCATAAAGTCTCGCTCCTAGCATCTCGCCTTCGCAGCCTCCTCCCTCCCCTTTCTTTTCTCTTATCGAGCGAGTTATGCGTCGAGCCTGCATGATCCGTATCTTTAAATTTGATTGAGGGCGTTTGTGCGAGGTTGTTATTGCGTTTCACTTTTATTGTCTGTAGCTGGAGTTTTTTTTCCTTCGACAACCGCCACATCCACGGCTTGTTTTTTAATGCTGGGTTGGATATTTCCGAGGCTGGAGCAGTGATCTTTTCTCATACCGCTCATTAGTTGGAATTTGGAGCTCTCTCTCTCTCTCTCTCTCTCTCTCTCTCTCTCTCTCTCTCTCTCTCTCTCCCTCTCTCTCTCTCTCTCTGTCTCTATCACTCCCTTCGCAAACCGAAACCCGTGCGCTGCAGAGTCCGGCAGCCATTACCGAGTTTAACAATGTGCAGCAGGCAGAAAAGTCCATTATTTCAGTGGCTCATCATCATCTCAAGCATCCACTCGAAACAAAAGGGCTCTCATTGCGGAGAATCATCTATCACTTAAAGTCAAGCCGGGAAAATACAAAAAAAAATAAGTCCAAAACACACAGGAACAGGCTGCAGTGGATTGGGGGTGGAAACAGAAAGAGAAAAAGAGAGAGAGAGGAATTGGCTTTCAGGGCAGCTAGCTAGGCGCGATGAGGAACAAGTCGTACCGCGGCAAAGTGGGAATATTTGGGCGAATTTAGCAAAGAGTCGATCACGGGAAGATGCCGGACTAAAGCTGCTAAATTGGACTTAAGTGGGGTTTTCGAACGCTGGTGTAACGAACGTGTGGGGATCCAGAGGCGAACCCCGGCGAGCGATTTTAGGAGAAGTGATAAGAATTGGTTTGGATTGAGTTTGGGGGAGAGTAGAGGCCAAAAATGGGAACGCAATTGGTTTGTTTCTTAACGAGGCTGAAGCAAAGAATCTTTATGAGATATACTGTAGCTGCGTGGTTCGATTGTGTTGTTATGAAACACCGTCTGCTCTATTGACAGTTTGAGACGGTGAGATTTGAGCCCATGTTGGTGAGAGAAGCACTGGTTTGACATGCCGCTTCCTGATTGGTCAAAACGAATTCAAATCTATGAGTCCTCTCGCCATTGGTTTAGCTGTACTCCTCTCTCTTTCTGGTCTCTTTCTGGTCTTTCTCTTTGGTCGCTCTAGTGTCTTTCTTGTCTCTCCCTGGTCTTTCTGGTCTCTCTATGGTGTCTCTCTTTTGCCTCTCTGTCTGGTCTCTCCGTTGTCTCTTTGGTCTCTCGTCTGTCTCTCTGGTCTTCCTCTGGTCTTCCTCTGGTCTCTCGCTGGTCTCTCTCTGGTCTCTCTCTGGTCTCTCTCTCGTCTCTCTCTGGTCTCTCTCTGGTCTCTCTCTCGTCTGTCTCTCTGGTCTTCCTCTGGTCTTCCTCTGGTCTCTCTCTGGTCTCTCTCTCTGGTCTCTCTCTCGTCTCTCTCTGCTCTCTCTGCTCTCTCTCTGCTCTCTCTCTGGTCTCTCTCTGGTCGCTCTCTGGTCTTCCTCTGGTCTTCCTCTGGTCTTCCTCTGGTCTCTCTCTGCTCTCTCTGGTCTCTCTCTGGTCTCTCTCTGGTCTCTCTCTGGTCTCTCTTTCGTCTCTCTCTGGTCTCTCTCTCGTCTCTCTCTGGTCTCTCTCTGGTCTCTCTCTGGTCTCTCTCTGGTCTCTCTTTCGTCTCTCTCTGGTCTCTCTCTCGTCTCTCTCTGGTCCTGCAGAAGTAAAACCACTGCACACCTACTCCACAAAACCAGGAGAACCAGAGCTGACTATAAAACCTCACTTTAGCTCATAGTTGGGTCGTCCACGGTGCTAGCATGAACCAATGAGACCAGGACATCGATCTGAGAGGGCAGACAGGGGCTTGTTAAAACACATAGTAAAATAAGCTTTGTTGATAACTTCACAGTCCCAATCTTTTGCGTGACTGAAGCTAAAAACATCTCTAGGTCTGGTTTTTATCGTTGGTTAATGGTTGTCACATGGTACATCTCCATATTCTTTGATATTTACCTACAATTTGATCACCTTTCTGACTCTCCCATTGGCAAATTTAGATTATAGCAAAAATAGCTGCTCTCTTTCCTGCTGCTCCATTTGCTCACAACTGTTCATTTTGACTGGGTAATAATTTAGATTGTAACACACGTCAAGCTGCATAAAACCAACAACCCCCCCCCCCCACACACACACACACACACACACACACACACACACACACACTCACGCAGTATACAACCTTGTCTTAATTAAACCCCAAACAGCTCTTGTAATCGTGAAAGTGCGACGGTAAAATAAAAAACGGGGAATTGTCTTCAAAACCTCGTACCGTCCCGGCCGTAACCAACGCTTGTAAAGTCTGTGATTGCGAAACAAAAGAGATGAGCTTGTAAAAAAAATGGAACAAAACAGAAAAAGTCTGCGGGAGTTAAAGGAAGCAGCTGCACCTGTCACCAGAATCAAAGACACTAATCAAAACGGTATCTATGAATTGATCTTTCCTCTTTGCCGCTGAGATTCCCCCCGACTCTGCCCTCTCTGCACATAAACTTTGTGTTCATTAGCGCTGATCAAACGGCGCGCTAATGCGGCCTGAGCGCGCTAATGCGGCCTGAGCGCGCTAATGCCGCCTGAGCGCGCCGTGATGGCTGCTGCGCGCTGAGGACAGGTCTCCCATCGGTGGATCTGCGAAGCTTTGAAACCGCTTAGACCAGTCAAAGAAGCAGCGCGGACTTCCAACTTTTACCTACGACTCTTGAACTCCTCAAAGCGAAGCCGCAGAGACGTCTGGGTTCACATTTGAATAATGGGCTTGATGTGAAAAGAGCAAGGGCTTTTATCTCGGGAGCAGTGCTTAAAAACTACACTGGCTTTGTTCTGTGTTGTGTGTTCACTGAGACTGAACCCGGAGACTTGAGGAAGTGGGTGGAGTCTGCGGCTCCTGCTTGGTTGGAGTGAAAACCTGCAGTCGTACCGGCCCTTCCTGGTACCGCTTTGACTCCCCTCTCGACTGTAGAACTGGGATTAAAACTTATTTTAGTTCAGGGCAGAATGTAAATGTTAAAGTCTGGTTGGAGTCAGTGGCAATATTTTTCTTTTTTTTATACATACCTGAACATTATGATTTTGAGTTGAATTTGAATAATGCTCTTGATGTGAGAGAGCGACTACATTTGTGCGTTCTGTGTTGTGTGTTTTTTGTGGGTTGCTACAGTAAATGTGTTTTCGCACTCTGGAGAAGATAGTATTCTAAATTGTCGATATTCACATTCTTTTAAGTCAAAACCTAAACGTAAAAATCATAAACAACCCTGCTCTTTGTGTGTGTGAACGGTTTGATTCTCTGATCTGTGGCTGGAGAATCAACAACTTTGTGCAGTGCTCGGAGATAACGACTCATGTTGAAGTTGAAAGTTTGATCATCTGTGAGCTAACCGTCTCCTCTCCTCTGTTGCCAGGGTAACCAAGAGGCCACCAACCCTCCGGAAGCCATGGCCCAGCCGTACACCCCCGCGCAGTACCCCCCTCCCCCACAGAACGGCATCCCGGCCGAGTTCGCCGCGCCGCACCCGCTGCCCGCTCAGGACTACACGGGCCAGAGCCGCGTCCCGGAGCACGCCATGACGCTGTACACGGCCGCGCAGACGCACAGCGAGGCCCCGCCCACAGACACGCCCACCCCCAACACCACGAGCGCACCGGTCAGTGTCCTCCACCACCTCAGCACCTCATGCTGCCAGCCCCACGTGCTGCAAGTACGAACCAGTCTACACACACACACACACACACACACACACACACTCATACACACACACACACACACACAGCCCCACGTGCTGCAAGTACGAACCATTCTACACACACACACACACACACACACACACACACTCATACACACACACACACACACACAGCCCCACGTGCTGCAAGTACGAACCAGTCTACACACACACACACACACACACACACACACACTCATACACACACACACACACACACAGCCCCACGTGCTGCAAGTACGAACCATTCTACACACACACACACACACACACACACACACTCATACACACACACACACACACACACAGCCCCACGTGCTGCAAGTACGAACCATTCTACACACACACACACACACGCACACACACACTCATACACACACACACAGCCCCACGTGCTGCAAGTACGAACCATTCTACACACACACACACACACGCACACACTCATACACACACACACAGCCCCACGTGCTGCAAGTACGAACCAGTCTACACACACACACACACACACACACACGCACACACACTCATACACACAGCCCCACGTGCTGCAAGTACAAACCATTCTCCTACACACACGCACTCATACACACACACACAAACACACGCACACACAGCCCCACGTGCTGCAAGTACAAACCATTCTCCTACACACACGCACTCATACACACACACACACAAACACACGCACACACAGCCCCACGTGCTGCAAGTACGAACCATCCTACACACACACACACGCACACGCACTCATACACACACACAAACGCACTCATACACGCACACACACACAGCTCCACGTGCTGCAAGTACGAACCATTCTCCTACACACACACACACGCACTCATACACACACACACACACAGCTCCACGTGCTGCAAGTACGAACCATTCTCCTACACACACACACACGCACTCATACACACACACACACACAGCCCCACGTGCTGCAAGTACGAACCATTCTCCTACACACACACACACGCACTCATACACACACACACACACAGCCCCACGTGCTGCAAGTACGAACCATTCTCACACACACACACACACACACACAAACACACGCACACACAGCCCCACGTGCTGCAAGTACGAACCATTCTCACACACACACACACACGCACACGCACTCATACACACACACACACACAAACATACACACACACAGCCCCACGTGCTGCAAGTACGAACCATTCTCCTACACACACACACACACGCACTCATACACACACACACACAAACACACACACACACATGCAGCCCCACGTGCTGCAAGTACGAACCATTCTCCTACACACACACACACACGCACACACACATACACACACACACACACACAGACACACACATGCAGCCCCACGTGCTTCAAGTACGAACCATTCTCCTACACACACATACACACAATACACACTCATACACACACATGGATACTCACACACACACATGGATACTCACACACACACACTCACACACACACACTCACACACACACACGGACACACACACTCTGAGCTCGGGCTGTCTCTGGCTCTGGATTCATTTGTTGTGGTCGCTTTAGTTTCTATGTTGCAGGAGTTTCAAACCGCTGTGAGCTGCAGGTTTTCATTCCGACCACGGGATCTGCTCCCATCAAACTACACCCATTATCTCTCTCCATTGAGTCCAGTCTAAACCTGAAGACCCGTGAAAGTTGGCCTCTGCTGTGTGCTCCTGCTTGGTTGGAATGAAAACCTGCAGCCATGACACTGGTCCTTTCTGGTCCTGGTTTGAGTCCGCTGACATCATGTGTTCCAATCCTTGCCTTTAGAAGAGGTCGAACTCATTGCGGTCGAGGGCCAAAGGTGAATATTAAAATCCGAAAAAAGGCCGTTTCAATTAGTTTTTTCAGGTTATCTTCAGCAACTGGCAATATTTGTTTTACTTTGTGATACATTATGAAGCTATTTTGACAGTATTACTTTTATTTCCCATGAGTTTGGATTGAACTTTGCATAACAGTGGATCCTCTCTGTCCTTAGACCCACAGAAAATGCACTAATAACAAATACATATGAGCCGTTGGTCCGAAGGGAACGGGACGACCTCTGTCTGAAGACGTTAATGTCATAGACTGTAAACATGAACAGATGTAGTCACCGCCGTTCAAACTAATGTGACATCACTTTTGGCTTCTGTGGCAGTTTCAAAATGGCGGAGGGAGCTGGAGAAACTCAATCGTCAATGAGTCAGCTGCACGAGCCCCGTTCATTTAACACGTGCATTCTAAAGTCCACAGCGGCTAAACTAGACAGGTCCAAAGATATACACTCCCCTCAGCATTGACACACATGTGGAGCTTTGGGCCAAGAGCCACTCCTGGACCATCCTGTACACACATAATTAATACATAGATACTTTATTGATTCCCAATAGGAGAAATTCAGGTGTTCAGTAGCATCAAAAAAATTATGAAAAAAGGGAGCATTCTAAAAAGTTAAAAATAGTAATAATCAGCAACAACCCATCAGGTCACAGCAGCAGAGGTGGAGCAGCCTCTGGGTGGAGCAGCCTCTGGGTGGAGCGGGACGGGTCAAAAGGTGGAGTAGCCGCTTGATTCAAACCATTGTCTCTGCTCTGGTCCAAAGTAAAATGCTAAATGCTTCATTAGCATTTAGCATAAAGTTAGCATTCCTCCAGTGGATTTTCACCTGATCCACTTGATTTGGACCATGAACCCTCTCTGCTCTGGTCTGGACCAGTGTAAAACCATGAATCCTCTCTGCTCTGGTCTGGACCAGTGTAAAACCATGAACCCTCTCTGCTCTGGTCTGGACCAGTGTAAAACCATGAATCCTCTCTGCTCTGGTCTGGACCAGTGTAAAACCATGAATCCTCTCTGCTCTGGTCTGGACCAGTGTAAAACCATGAATCCTCTCTGCTCTGGTCTGGACCAGTGTAAAACCATGAACACTGAACTGCAGCAACAACTCAAAAAAGTAAAAAATAGAAATTCGAAAGCACAAAACAACAATAGTTTCAGAGCTACTTAGGAGTTGCAGCCGTTTCCCGGCGCATTGAAACAGTAAACGCCGTTTTTGAGAAGTAAGAAGATGCTATATGTTAGCATTAGCTAACTCTTATTCCGGGTCCACCCCCACAGGCCCGGGGTGGTATTGCAGCATGTCAGCGCACGTCATTTTGGCCACTTTTGAGCCGGGACCCGCCCAAACTGGTTAATCCCTATAAAAGTTAATGTTAATAAATATCCCGGATTGTCACTGTCCTTAGACCCTCCTCCATCTGGAAGAAACCAATCCAAAAAGTGAGAAACTTCAGGGAGAGAGATGGATGTGCTCTCACAAACTGCCTGTCGATCCAAAGCTAGCCACAAACCACTTTTATTGTAAGAATTAGCCTTCCGTTCTCCGCAGAGCTGCCGCGTGTTGCCATGTAGCTTTCTATTTTGGTCTGTGCGTGAGATAAAGTGCGTGTAAATCCAGCGTGTTTTATTCATGTGTTTGGGGGATCTGACAGGCGGCGGACATGAATGATTTAGCTCGTCTGAGAGCGGGGCACGCCCTCCTTTACCCCCGCCCTGTCGCTCGACTTTTACTGAAGCTAAATGAGAACTTTGAAAGACCCCGGTTAAGGAGCGTCTGGCCCGGGTCCCGCCTGCATTTGACCCATTTTGTTGCGTCGGAAGCGGGTTCAGACTGGTTCAGCTGCTGTGGAGTTTGGGTCGATGTGTGTGAGGTTTTTTAGATTAAATCAACTCCAGATTCAGATTAAAAAGTGTGCTGTGTTAAAAAGCCGTTAGCTGATATCAGAGAGTGAGTTATGAATAGGCCGGTCGGATGTAGACATGATTTAAGTTATGATTTGGACGATTTGGGCTGATTGGCCGAGAGTGCGGGAGATTCAGATGTTGGTCCCACAGTGGGGAAATGTTCAGTAACAGAACAGTGATAAGTATTGTCTAAAAAAAAGACTGGACGTGTCTCCGATTTGATAAAGAGAAATGAGAAGCAAGAATTCAGAGTTCAACAGTACTTAATTATCTTTAAAATCAAATACAAAACTCGAGCTCCTATCCGGGCGATCCTATCCCTGTTCTCTCCCTGTGTGAGCTGCTTAACAACACGTACAGAACAGTTTTAAGTGGAAAAACCGGATGTATAAGAACTCATTCCTCTCCATATCTGTGAACCTCCTGAATGCAGACCATGGAGCAGAGCTGATGGTTTATGTCGGTGTTACTGTGTTTTTACAGTATGTCTGTCTTATGTGCTTTTTTCAATGTAGCAGCTGTGAGTCCAAGACACATTTCCTACAGGACATAATAAATTAATCTTGAATCTTGAATCTTGAAGTGCCGCTGACGTTATCCGGCTTTTTTCCAGATATCTGAGTCTGGACTGGTCTCGGACTCTGGTCTGGTCTTGGTCTTGGGCCCCGGTCCAGGTCTTGTTCGCATCCTTCTCCTCTCCCACATCTCTTCATTTTTGTCTGAAAATCATCTACACTCTCGAACTATAACATTACCTTTTAAGTCTAAAACATCTCATGGTCTCTGTAACTTTGCTCACATCACCCTCTTCACAATCTCCCCTGTATGTAATAAATCCCATTTGACCTCAGAAACTTTTGACAATTTCATGATTAAATATAGAAATTCACAACTTGTAGAAAGAAAACCAAATGGACGTAGTTTTTACCCACGAACACAGCTGAACGCAGACCTCACAGAGTTGAATATCCACCAATTACTAAGTTATGAAATACAACAGCCTCAGATTGTCGGCTTCTATATATAGTCTTGACCCGGGCTTTACCTTACAAAAAGAGAGATGAAAGGCTGAGGATAGGTGTGGATGTGGAGAGAGCGGGGCGTCGGATGAAAAAGGATCTTATATCTATGCATTAGTGAGAGCACACCTGCCGGGGGGGGTCACGCCAGGGCCACGTCCCCCCAGGAGAGATGTAGGTCAGCCGTAAAGAACCTCTTAATAACTCCGTTTCACTGCCAACAATTACAGGAGAGAGGGGGAGGAGGGGTGAGGAGGAGGGGGGAGGCAGGGGGAGAGGTGCACGGAGATGGACCAGCCTTTTCCCACTCGTTTACACTGCAAAAAGTGATAAAAAATACGTTAAAAATGGCTGAAATTTGGCGAAATGTGTCTTAATTTGAGCTCATTCTGACGGAGATTTAAAACTAGATTCTCCAATGGGACAAAGCAAAATAATCTAGTTTTGAAAAGATAAAGAAATATCTCTCTTGGAATGAGAAAATACAGCAGCGGTTCGTGAAATGAGACTAAACGGCTTCGTCAGAAAGTGTCAAATTAAGATAAAAACCCAAATAAAAAGCATTCATAATCTAATTTTGGTGCATTTTTTTGCAGTGAAACTAGTTTGATCATTTCAATTATTTTCCATGTATTTTTGTAAAGCCCTAAATCACAACAGGAGATATCTTGAAGAAAAATGCAGTGATAAAAAACACTTGGGGAGATTTATCAACTCGTACAGACATTAAAGAACACGTAGTATGCATGATTCAGACTCATTTTAAAGGGACAGTCTGTAATATTTTAATTTAAAATCACATCAGCGGATCACAGGCCACACATGAAGTCCGACTTGTTCTGTTTTCTGTTTTAATCTAGAGTTAATCTTAAAAATACAATGGACCTAATAGCGATGATATTTTTGTGTCTGATCATTTTGAATCGCTCGAGCTAAAAAACAGCAAAATGACATTTATTTAAACACATATATTTAACTGAAACCTGGCGTCGTACACAATACAGACTTCATACTTTTTCCAGCTAAACCCCAGCAGGTGGATTGCATTATTAATCCGTGGACTCAGTATTTGTCGTCATCCCGCTCCGTATGAACCAAAGGCTTCTATGTGTTTGTTTTTATTGCACTGTGTTATAACTGTTTGATTCTCTGATCTACTGTTGTGGAATCGACACATTTTCACAAAGTCTTCATGAAGTTTGAGATTGGAGCATTGCGACTTTAGGGATGTGTTTTTATGAGCATGGATGGTGCTAAAAACAACCCCGGGTCTGATTCCGATGAGGTATCCTTGTTCTAATATGGTTTAATGCTTTCGCCGCCAGCGTTTGTTTGTTTTTTTGAGATTGTATTTGACAACAACAGTAGCTCAGTTGGTAGAGCATTGGAGGTTGTGGGTTCGAGCCCCCGTGAGACCTACTTCACGACTCCCACTGATGACTGCTGTCCTTGGGCAAGACACTTAACCCCACTTTGCCCGAAGCCCCCACTGAAAGATCTCAGCTCCTGTGGACTCAGCACCTGCAGTAGGATCAGTGAGGGGCTGGTGCTGTGACTGCCACCCCCGACCCAGAAATGGATTAAGGGGAAGAAGATGGATGGATGTATTAGACAAAAGGTGACACGCTGTAACCCAGTAAGACACGGTGCAGAAACAGACCGAAAATACCTGGAAGAAACATTTTGTGAGACATTTGTGGGAAGCCAAGTCACTGTATAGAAAGTGTCCTGGGTTTAGGGGCTTGTTTAGCACTTTAAAACTCTACACAGACACGTTTCCATCATGTATCCTTTATGGCAGAGAGAGAATGCCGTACAGAGTGATTCCTCAAGGGTCAGTTCTGTCCCCTGTCCTCTTCCGTCACAGCTGTTTCATTTTCACGGCTTCAATGGGCCTTTATGTCATTGTAGCCTTCTTCTTCATTCCCTTAAGCATTATTTATCGCCCTCTGCTCGCCCCATCGCTCCATTCTCCAGGACTTTACCTTCCGCCGCGGTCCGTCTATTCCCCCCCCGCCTTCTTCTTCTGCCGATCCACTCCACTCTACTCTACTCTTCTCGCTAATACCTCGTACTTACAGCTTGGTAATGGCCGCCGCTCAGCAGAGAGGAGCGAGTTAGCAGGAGGCTCTCACTCCCTGTCTTCCCCCCTTCACTTCTTAGTCCTCTTCATGTTCTGGCCCCGCTGTGAAGAAAGCCCAGAGACGCCGGCCTCTCCGCGGAGAGATGAGAGCTCCCACCATCCCACCCCCCCACCACCACACACACTCTTCTTCTATATCTGTTCTTCTTATGGCATTTCTCCAATCTCTGAAAAAAAAAGCTAACGCAGGAACAGAGAGAATCAAAGGGAAAACTAGCGCAGCGATGACGTTACCCCCCGATGGTTTTGAAGTCTGAAGTTTGGCATATTAGGGTCAGGCTGAGGAAGCTAATGCTACTGTAAACATCCCGAACAAAGATGGCTACCACGCACAATCACGCCGTCTGCTCAACTTTCTTTCCCCTCACAATAAGGCCGTCTCGCTGCGTTGTAAGAAGCACGTTTTGTACCAGTTTTGCACATTAAAGAGGTTACAGACGACGGCAGCGGCGGCTTGGAAGCACGGCTGGGTTTGGCTCGTAGCTTAGCCTGGTGTAGAGCCACATGTAAGCTGACAGTACTGTAATATTTAGATTTTAAAACGACATATATATCTTTTGTTTGTGTCCTCAGATACTTTGTCACATGTTCAAATCCTTTTAAAGACAGTGGAGAATTAACATTAATTAAAAACATGTGTAAAAGTCGCCCAGAGAGAGGTCCAGGTCTCTCTGTTTATGGAACAAACCAACACGTTTAGACCCGTAGGGGTGTCTTTGTCCCTGATTCAAATCAAAATGGAGGCTGTCCTTTAAAAACAAGACAAGTTTATGTTATAGCAAAGTTCATACACAACTCAAAGTGTTGAACAAAACGTTTAAAACAGTCACACAATGTTTTAAAATCATGAATAATCACTGAGAGAAGATTATATCCTTCAGTTGTTGCATTTTCAGGAAGACTGGAAGACAGACACACACACACACACACACACACACACACATACAGAGACGCAGACACACACACATACACATGCAGACGCACACACACATGCAGACGCACACAAACAAATACAGAGACGCAGACACACACACACGGCACGGTGGCTGAGTGGATAGCACTCTCGCCTCTCAGCAAGAAGGTCCTGGGTTCGAATCCCGGTTGGACCAGGGCCTTTCTGAGTGGAGTTTGCATGTTCTCCCTGTGTCTGTGTAGGTTTCCTCCGGGTGCTCCGGTTTCCCCTACCACTAAAAATATGTACAATAGGTCTGACATGTGCCTCCTGTACTGGCCCCACTCCCAAAAAAAAAAAAGAACAATTGTAAACCGCTTTGAGACTCCGATGTGCAGTGAAAAGGCGGTATATAAATAAAGCTTACTTACTACTACTTACTTACACACACGCACACACACATGCAGACGCACACACACAAATACAGACACACATACACACACACATACAGAGACGCGGACAAACACACATACACATGCAGACACACACACACATACAGAGACGCAGACACACACACACAGACACACATACACATACAGACACACACACAGACGCACACACACACAGATGCACACACACAAATACAGAGACGCAGACACACACATTGAGACACACAGACACACATGCACACACACACAAATACAGATATGCGCACACATACACATATTGATACACACACGCACACACACACATACAAACACACACGCACAGACATACACGCACAGATTTGAGTGTAGAAAGCTCCCTCCGTATGTTTAGTCCTGATACCAAAAACAGACCTGGAGTCGGCTTTAGCTCCGTCCATGCCGATACCACCAACTCCTGGTTATAATCAGCATAAACGCGTCCCCCCACCCCATCTCTCCAGAAGCTTATTCATCAAACTTCGTTAAAATCTGCCATGACTCGACCACAGTGTGTTCTGCAGATCTGTGCCATGTTGGACGCTGCAATGTTAGATTCGGATCTGAAGCGAGATGATTATTATCCACTGGCGCTCGGGGGAAGTGGCCGATCATTTGCCGCCTCCTTTTCTAATGTATCTAATCATGTATTTTCTCCATAAAGTTCATGTCTGTAACTTATTTATCATTTCTGAAGTATTTTTTTTATAGTTGCTGGAGGAGAATATTTGGACCAATGGGGAAGGACCTCGGCTCAAGCAAACACTGTATGTTATCTCATACTTTGTCATTTTTTACAGTGTAGCAGCAAAAAAAAAAAAATTGTGGTCTGTTTAAAAATGAGAGAAAATGAGTTTAAAACCTCGGAAAAATGAGGAGTCTGAGAAATTGCTTTTGAATTAGAATCCGTTACTAAACAAAGCAGTGGTTTTGTAAATGTCAACTCTGCTGCGGTTTGTTCGGCTTTGAAACTGGAGCAGATTGAGACAAAAGAAACCTTTGTTCTTCTTCAAGTCACTTTCTGCCATAACTTTCCACAAACACACACATACAGACACAGACACACACACACAGACGCACATACACAGACTTAGACACTCAAACAGAGGCACACAGATGGATGCACACAAGCACACACGCACATGCACACACACACACACACACAGATCTATGCACACATATACACACACAGACGCATACACACACACACCCACATACACACACAGACGAACATACAGATGCACACACACACACACACACACACAGAGAGACGTATAGACACAGAGTAAGAGTAGTATGAGATTAAGAGAGACACACACACACAGACGCACACAGAGACACACACACACACACACACAGACATACAGACGCAGACACACACACACACACACACATACACACACACACACACACACACACACACACACACACACAGCCTGACCCGGGGGGGTTGGTGCAGCGTCGCCGTTCGCTGCCTTCTCTGACTTTAATGACACCAGTGCAGCTCAGGCCAGTTACAGGGGGCGCCGCTTTGATCGGCAACACCCAAAGAAATGCCAGAAAGTCCACGGGAATCTCAGCAGGCCCAACCCTCACCCGCAACGCCAACCCCTTCTCCCTCTCCCTCCCCATCCATCTCTCCCTCTCTCTCTCTCTCTCTTCCCCTCTCTCTCTCTCTCTCCACAACCCGCTAAGCTAGCTTCACTACCCAACTTTTGCTGCATTGCTTTTATATAACACTCAAAGACGCCTCACATGTTATATTCATTCACTCCAGACACGGTGGTGACACACAGCTCGCCACAGCTGCCCTGGGGCACACTGACAGAAGCGAGGCAACCAACTTCATCAGGCTAAAGTCATAGATTTTATTCTTCCTCCTTGAAAAAGTTGCTAAATTTGATTATTTTATACTTCCTTCCTTGCGAAGCTAAAGCTAGAGATTTAGTATAGCGTACATTATTGACCATAGCCACCCTATCCAGAGGTCTCCCATCTCAGCACTAACCAGGCCTTACCCTGCTTATCTTCAGAGATGTCTGACAGGATCTGGCTTTTCAACCAAACTTAAAAAAAACCTTGAGTCCCTGTGCAGTATTTTATTGGCCGCAGCCGCCCCACTGCATCACCTGGTGTTCTCAGAGGTCTCCCATCACAGCACTAACCATGCCCTGCCCTGCTTAGCTTCACAGGTCTGCCCTGATCTGGTTTTTTCACACAAACTTGAGAAGCTTGAGTCCTTGTTCAGAACATACAGAGAACTCCCCAAAGAGCGTATGTTCTATCTATATATTTTTATTTTTTTTGTGTTTTTTTCTCGGCCGGCAGCGCGTCGCAAACACAGGGCCGCGTCCAGAAACAAGGGGAAAGATCATCGGGGAACGCGGACACTTGAAAGGAAGCGGCTTGTGTGGAAAGATTTTTTTTTTCTTCTTCTCTCGAGTCCTCGGAGACGCAAAGGCTGCCAGGGACCGAGGGGAAAGAGCGGGGAAAGAAGAAAATATATAAATGTGTGTGTGCTCGTTATCCAGACGTGGAGATGGTCCTCGGCTCCGGTGGATTTCACGACTAATCATTCTAGTCTGGGATAAGAAATTAAAGGGGAGAGAGCGACATGTGCAGGCTGCTACATGCTGAGACTGACTGGGGATTGAAATTCAACATATAGACACAGGGGACAGAGCACGGGACCAGCAGAACCCCCTCCTCCTCCTCCCCTCCTCCCACTCTCCCACTCTCTCAGACTCACTACACGGGGAAAGTACATTGTATGTGTAGTATTGGCTCATGCTGAACTGGGGATTCTGACACCTCATTTGGGATGACTATAGTATTAGTAGTAGCAGTAGTAGTAGTAGTAGCAGTAGTAGTACTAGTCACAGTGGTTCTGTCCGGAGTTTGCATGTTCTCTCCGTGCCTGAGTAGGTTTCCAATGGGTGCTCCGGTTTCTCCACCACTAAAAACTGGTGCTAGAAGTTGAGCAATTTTCAACAACATAAAATACTAACTTTCTCCTGATGACACCTGCAGACTGACTGCAGACTGACTGCAGACTGACTGCAGACTCACTGCAGACTGACTGCAGACTCACTGCAGACTGACTGCAGACTGACTGCAGACTGACTGCAGACTGACTGCAGACTGACTGCAGACTCACTGCAGACTCACTGCAGACTGACTGCAGACTGACTGCAGACTGACTGCAGACTGACTGCAGACTCACTGCAGACTGACTGCAGACTCACTGCAGACTGACTGCAGACTGACTGCAGACTGACTGCAGACTGACTGCAGACTCACTGCAGACTGACTGCAGACTGACTGCAGACTGACTGCAGACTGACTGCAGACTCACTGCAGACTGACTGCAGACTGACTGCAGACTGACTGCAGACTCACTGCAGACTGACTGCAGACTGACTGCAGACTCACTGCAGACTGACTGCAGACTGACTGCAGACTGACTGCAGACTCACTGCAGACTGACTGCAGACTGACTGCAGACTCACTGCAGACTGACTGCAGACTCACTGCAGACTGACTGCAGACTCACTGCAGACTGACTGCAGACTGACTGCAGACTGACTGCAGACTCACTGCAGACTGACTGCAGACTGACTGCAGACTGACTGCAGACTCACTGCAGACTGACTGCAGACTGACTGCAGACTGACTGCAGACTCACTGCAGACTGACTGCAGACTGACTGCAGACTGACTGCAGACTGACTGCAGACTGACTGCAGACTCACTGCAGACTGACTGCAGACTGACTGCAGACTGACTGCAGACTGACTGCAGACTGACTGCAGACTGACTGCAGACTGACTGCAGACTGACTGCAGACTGACTGCAGACTGACTGCAGACTGACTGCAGACTCACTGCAGACTGACTGCAGACTGACTGCAGACTGACTGCAGACTGACTGCAGACTCACTGCAGACTGACTGCAGACTCACTGCAGACTGACTGCAGACTGACTGCAGACTGACTGCAGACTGACTGCAGACTGACTGCAGACTCACTGCAGACTGACTGCAGACTGACTGCAGACTGACTGCAGACTGACTGCAGACTGACTGCAGACTGACTGCAGACTGACTGCAGACTGACTGCAGACTGACTGCAGACTGACTGCAGACTGACTGCAGACTCACTGCAGACTGACTGCAGACTGACTGCAGACTGACTGCAGACTCACTGCAGACTGACTGCAGACTGACTGCAGACTGACTGCAGACTGACTGCAGACTCACTGCAGACTCACTGCAGACTCACTGCAGACTGACTGCAGACTCACTTTTAGGAGTGGTTTGTTGCTGCTTGTTGTTTATTTGTGAGTTCCTTAAACATTTTTTGAATAAACGTAAACATAAAAATAATATAGGGATATTTATTTTGAAAACTTCTTTTCAACTGCAACTCTGTGGCCTACATTTCCCTCATATCCAGACACACACACACAGTCTTACACACACTCACACACACACACAGACACACACACACACACACACACACACACACACAGTCTCACACACACAGACACACACACACATACAAACACACACACAGACACACACACACACACTCTTACAGCAGAACCATAAATCCGCCGCCGCACACACCAGCGCCTCCTGCAGCAGCGGTCTGCGGTCTGGACGCGCTCGCAGCAGGAGGCCGTGTCGCCGCCATTACACCGCGCTCTCGCTTTATCACGCGCTCCGGTTCTTCAAAAGGCTCCCCCGTCTCCCCCCGTCTCCCCCGTCCTCCCCCAGGGGCCCGGATCCTGCACCACTCGCCTCATTGTGAGCTAATCCGCGCTAAAGGGCTGAAACCAACAACGCGACAGATCGTACATCGATGTAGGCTTACGCTTTGAAAAGGAAAAAGGCTTAGTAATTTAGCAAAACAGCTGACTGCTGCGGTGTAGGAAAAAGTCTAACCTGGGGAGAGGAGCGGGAAAATGCACGGCTATTTTTAGCAACGGGAGGGATTTTTGCTCCAGAAATAAGTAGGTTGGAGCCGGAGAACGGCTGCAGACATTGTTTATAAAAGTGTTGGCTAATCGTTAGCTTTGGAGACTTGGCTAACCGTTAGCTTAGACACAGTTTTGGAGACTTTCTTCTTCGCTTGTTTTCAAAATGTCAGAATTGGATCATTGTTTTAAAGTCTGGGTTGAGTTTAAATTAGTTTTTTTTATCTGTTCTGTGTTTTCAATCATTTAGAGATTAGTGATTTAATAACTTCTACATTTGTTCTTCAAGAGTGGAAAGAAGGACCAGCTCTGAAGAAAGTCAAAAACAAACATCGCAATACTAATCAGGAGTAGAAGTAGTGGTAGTAGAAGTACTAGTAGTAGACGTTGTAGCAGTATTAGACTAGTAGTAGAAGTAGTATTAGTTGTAGTAAACTAGCAGTAGCAGTAGTATTAGTAGTAGTAGTAGTTGCAGTAGTAGCAGTAGTAGTAGTAGTAGTAGTAGCAGTAGTAGTAGTATCTGCAGTAGTAGGAGTAGTTGCAGTAGTAGAAGTAGTAGTAGTAGCAGTAGTAGTAGTAGCAGTAGTAGTTGCAGTAGTAGTAGTAGTTGCAGTAGTAGTAGTATCTGCAGTAGTAGCAGTAGTAGTAGTAGCAGTAGTAGTCGTAGTATCTGCAGTAGTAGTAGTAGTTGCAGTAGTAGCAGTAGTAGTAGTTGCAGTAGTAGCAGTAGTAGTAGTAGTAGTAGCAGTAGTATGAGTAGTAGTAGTATCTGCAGTAGTAGTAGTAGTAGTATCTGCAATAGTAGCAGTAGTAGTAGTAGCAGTAGTAGTTTCAGTAGTAGTAGTAGCAGTAGTAGTAGTAGTAGTATCTGCAGTAGTAGTAGTAGTTGCAGTAGTAGCAGTAGTAGTAGTAGTAGCAGTAGCAGTAGTAGTAGTAGTAGCAGTAGTAGTAGTAGCAGTAGCAGTAGTAGTAGTAGTAGCAGTAGTAGCAGTAGCAGTAGTAGTAGTAGCAGTAGTAGTAGTAGCAGTAGCAGTAGTAGTAGTAGTAGCAGTAGTAGTAGTAGTAGTAGTAGTAACAGTCCAGAGACTTTCAAAGTTGTGGCATTTTTGGCCCATTCTTCCTTCCAGTTGTGTGAGATTCCTGGGCTGTCTTGCACTGATCCTTTGAGGAGAATCCACACATTTTGAATCATTTTCCTGTCGAGTCCTGTCCATGCGCTACATAAATAAACTCCTCTTCCTCCTCGTCCTTTACCGTTCCCATTTAAATCTTCACAGACTCTTCCAGCGGAGTCTTCCCGAAGCCGCAGTTGTTTTGCCCAAAAGCTCATTAATCATGTTTATTTGTGTCCGGGGCCCGTCCACGTCTCATTCTCAGTATTTGTGTTTCATTAACCTTTTATGGCGGCCACAACACCGCGGCGCCGTGAGGTAAAATAACCACATTGTTAAAACTAGCTCCTGTTTAAAGTGCTCTTCCAGGTTTGGCTCCTTCTCAGACGTAGATCACAGATATCGTTTTAATCCTCGAGTATTTTAAAGAAGTGTAGCATGGAAGCAGTTTTAATTATCTTTACGCGGCGAGGGATGCGGCGTTAGCGTTAGCGTTAGCATGCCCGAGAGGCCGTGAAGAGCAGAGGCAGTGAGGAGGCAGAGGAGAGAGGAATACTCTGTTTTACTGTTTTACTTTTGGACATAGTAAAAAAAAGGAAAAATGTACGGTAAGAAATACTCAAATACAAGGGTTTTTATCTTAATCTGACACATTCTGACCGGATACTCTACTCTACTCTACTCTGCTCTGACTGCTCTGCTCTGCTCTACTCTGCTCTGCTCTGCTCTGCTCTGCTCTACTCTACTCTACTCTACTCTACTCTACTCTACTCTACTCTACTCTACTCTACTCTACTCTAACCTACTCTACTCTACTCTACTCTACTCTACTCTACTCTACCCTACTCTACTCTACTCTACTCTACTCTACTCTACCCTACTCTACTCTTCTCTACTCTACCCTACCCTACTCTACTCTAATCTAATCTACTCTACCCTACCCTACTCTACCTGTACTCTACTACACCCTACTCTACTCTACTCTACTCTAACCTACTCTACTCTACTCTACCCTACCCTACTCTACTCTACTACACCCTACTCTACTCTACTCTACTCTAACCTACTCTACTCTACTCTACTCTACTCTACTCTACTCTACTCTACTCTACTCTACTCTACTCTACCCTACTCTACTCTACTCTACTCTACTACACCCTACTCTACTCTACTCTACTCTACTCTACTCTACTCTACCCTACTCTACTCTACTCTACTCTACTCTACTCTACTCTACCCTACTCTATTCTACTCTAATCTAATCCACTCTACTCTACTATACCCTACTCTACTCTACTCTACTCTACTCTACCCTACTCTACTTTACACTATACTCCGGTTTCCCTTACCACTAAAAACATGTGCAATAGTTCAGGCTGAATGAGTGTGAGTTTGTGAGTCTGTCTGTGATACAACGGATGGAAAACAGCCCGACGCCACAAAGAAGAAATGACTAAAGCGCAAAAAGCAGTGTATCCTGGTCCCTTCCTCCCCCCCCTCCCCTCCTCCCCTCCCCCCTTCCTCCCTCCCCCCCTCCCTCACTGACAGTCGGATGGCCTTCTATGGTAATCCGAGTGGTAATTATTTCCGTGGTGGCGTCCCCGGCGGCGAGGACAGGCTGGGGGCCCCTGGACGGTGGTGTACGAGGAGCCGGTGACACCCGAGTTATTGAGTTAGCGACGGAGACTGCGGCGCGATGCTTGGCCCCGGTGTCAGCTGCTGTCGCGGCGGGGGCCACTCAAAGTTAATCTGGAGCTTTTCAAAAACACAGTCCTGGGAGCACGCCGCTGCCGCCGCCGCTGCCGCCGCCACCGTCTCCCAAACAAGCCACGGTTTGGAGAGAAAAGGGGAGATGGAAGGAAAGGAAACAGCTTTGGGAGGAGGAGAGACACAGGGTTTAATATCAGTGCAGCTGCACGTGGTCGCAACAGGCAAGAAATGACTAAAGTTCAGGAAGAAATTACTAAAGTGCAAGAATAAATTAGTAAAACGCAAAAGAAATGAGTAAAGTACCAAAAGAAATTATTAAAGTGCCAAAAGAAGAAATGTTTTAGTCATTTCTTTTAGCACTAATTTCTTAAGTGCTAAAACTAAGACACTAAATAAAGTACAAGAATAAACGACTAAAACACGGTTTAAGCAGCGTACGAGTGATTTTATCGGTTCATAAATGTTTTAGGGACCTCTGTTTTTTGGCAAGAAGAGAAAGTCTGTTTTACTTGTAAGTCTCTGGATGTGACGGTTTCTTTTATCACGTGGAAAACAAAACTAAGTAGATACAGAAGCGTCGCAAAGTATGGAGCAAATGTAGACGTGCGTGGAGCTACGACGTGTCCAAAAGCCGTCAAATTGACTGCTCTGGAGTCTGGGTGTTGACGCTCTGGAGTCCGGGTGTTGACTGCTCTGGAGTCCGGGTGTTGACTGCTCTGGAGTGTGGGTGTTGACTGCTCTGGAGTCCGGGTGTTGACTGCTCTGGAGTGTGGGTGTTGACTGCTCTGGAGTCCGGGTGTTGACGCTCTGGAGTCCGGGTGTTGACTGCTCTGGAGTCTGGGTGTTGACTGCTCTGGAGTCCGGGTGTTGACGCTCTGGAGTCCGGGTGTTGACGCTCTGGAGTCCGGGTGTTGACTGCTCTGGAGTCCGGGTGTTGACTGCTCTGGAGTGTGGGTGTTGACTGCTCTGGAGTCCGGGTGTTGACGCTCTGGAGTCCGGGTGTTGACTGCTCTGGAGTCCGGGTGTTGACTGCTCTGGAGTGTGGGTGTTGACTGCTCTGGAGTCCGGGTGTTGACTGCTCTGGAGTGTGGGTGTTGACTGCTCTGGAGTCCGGGTGTTGACGCTCTGGAGTCCGGGTGTTGACTGCTCTGGAGTCTGGGTGTTGACTGCTCTGGAGTCCGGGTGTTGACGCTCTGGAGTCCGGGTGTTGACGCTCTGGAGTCCGGGTGTTGACTGCTCTGGAGTCCGGGTGTTGACTGCTCTGGAGTCCGGGTGTTGACTGCTCTGGAGTCCGGGTGTTGACTGCTCTGGAGTGTGGGTGTTGACTGCTCTGGAGTCCGGGTGTTGACTGCTCTGGAGTGTGGGTGTTGACTGCTCTGGAGTCCGGGTGTTGACGCTCTGGAGTCCGGGTGTTGACTGCTCTGGAGTCCGGGTGTTGACTGCTCTGGAGTCCGGGTGTTGACTGCTCTGGAGTCCGGGTGTTGACGCTCTGGAGTCCGGGTGTTGACTGCTCTGGAGTCCGGGTGTTGACTGCTCTGGAGTCCGGGTGTTGACTGCTCTGGAGTCTGGGTGTTGACTGCTCTGGAGTCTGGGTGTTGACGCTCTGGAGTCCGGGTGTTGACTGCTCTGGAGTCTGGGTGTTGACTGCTCTGGAGTCTGGGTGTTGACGCTCTGGAGTCCGGGTGTTGACTGCTCTGGAGTCCGGGTGTTGACGCTCTGGAGTCCGGGTGTTGACGTGGCAGTGTCAGATTCTCCGTGGTTAACGTTCCTCAGTCTAACTTCTGCTGACTTTTCCCTCTGTGTAACTCTGGCCTTTTTTTGTTCTTCCCACATGAACTGGAAACACAATCCTGCACAGTTCAGGGGGAGTCAGCACTTCACCTCCCCCGTCTCCCCCCCACCCCGTCTCCCCCCTCAATGTCAGCGCGCCTCGACCAATCAACCGTTTTGGGTTCGTGCAAAAAGAAAAAACCTCTGTGACAAAGAGCCGAGCGGACACTGCGGCCGCGAACGCTACCGTTAGCATACGCCAAAAGGTCGTCCGTGTCGAGGCGTGAGCGATGAAACGGGTTGACCCTTCCTCCCCCCCTTACCCCCCTCTCCCCCCCTCTCTCTCTCTGGCCCTGGGCATCTGTCTGCTCGGCCTCACCCCGGGGTCCGACGCAGCGGATCAGGCTATTAACCTCCAGCGCTCAGGACAGAGACAGGAGCGCCAGACCTTTCTCTGGGCTCTGTCACGGATCCAGTCAGTCCGCGGTCACAGGGTCTGGATCTGGCGCCCACAGAACGCTGGTTAAACCGAGGGCTGTCCATCCAAAACCAAGAGCTCTACGGACGAGTAGAGTAGAGTAGAGTACAGTAGAGTAGAGTAGAGTAGAGTAGAGTAGAGTAGAGTAGCTGAATAGACAAGAGTTTTGTCAACAACAAATCTATAACCAACACCTTTTTTCACAAAGCTAGAAATCCTGGTTTTATTCCTTGTTTTGTCGTTAATGATTTGAGAATCATAACGAGACCTTTTTTAGTTCTGCGCCACATGGTACTTTACCAGTGAGATTATCTTTCTGACAGAACAGGGCTCTTTAATGATGACGGATTAGGGCCCTTTAATGAGTCTGGTGTGTGTGTGAATGGTTGGTGGTGGTCGGAGGGGCCGATGGCACAGACTGGTTGCCTCGCTTCTGTCAGTGTGCCCCAGGGCAGCTGTGGCTACAGTAGTTTATCACCACCGTGTTTGGAGAGAAAGAATAATGACATGTGAAGCGTCTTTGAGTGTCCAAAAAAGCGCTATATAAAACCAATGCATTATTATTATTATTCTTTAATGATGACAGATTAGGGCCCTTTAATGATGACAGATTAGGGCCCTTTAATGCTGACAGATTAGGGCCCTTTAATGCTGACAGATGAGGGCCCTTTAATGATGACAAATTAGGGCCCTTTAATGCTGACAGATGAGGGCCCTTTAATGATGACAAATGAGGGCCCTTTAATGATGACAGATTAGGGCCCTTTAATGCTGACTGGACATGTGAATCTTACGTACTGTCCCTTTAAGAAGCCTCCGGGGCCGGGTCACGGTGGGAGCAGTGGGATATGAATCAAACTCCTGTCAGAGGAGTGGGAATGGACCATAAAGGCCGAATAGATGACAGCCGTTACCGTGGAGATTGTGGTTATGATAATGAGAATAATAAAGGCGATCATCATTACCGGCCTGGTGATGGCGGTGATGAGGAAACCGCCGCCGTGATGAATTAGAATGAATAAATCTGGCGCCCATTGTCTTAACATGGAGTGATGGATCAGCCAGGGACCGAGAGACTCAGGCTGAAGCGGGACTGGGTCTACAGCCTCAGTCCTGGGTCTACAGCCTCAGTCCTGAGTCTACAGCCTCAGTCCTGGATCTACAGCCTCAGTCCTGGGTCTACAGCCTCAGTCCTGGATCTACAGCCTCAGTCCCGGGTCTACAGTCTCAGTCCTGGATCTACAGCCTCAGTCCTGGGTCTACAGCCTCAGTCCTGGGTCTACAGCCTCAGTCCTGGGTCTACAGCCTCAGTCCTGGGTCTACAGCCTCAGTCCCGGGTCTACAGTCTCAGTCCTGGATCTACAGCCTCAGTCCTGGATCTACAGCCTCAGTCCTGGGTCTACAGTCTCAGTCCTGGATCTACAGCCTCAGTCCTGGATCTACAGCCTCAGTCCTGGGTCTACGGCCTCAGTCCTGGATCTACAGCCTCAGTCCTGGATCTACAGCCTCAGTCCTGGGTCTACAGCCTCAGTCCTGGGTCTACAGCCTCAGTCCTGGGTCTACAGCCTCAGTCCTGGGTCTACAGCCTCAGTCCTGGATCTACAGCCTCAGTCCTGGGTCTACAGCCTCAGTCCTGGGTCTACAGCCTCAGTCCTAATCTACAGCCTCCCTCCTTCTCTGCGTCCTCTTCCTCCTCCTTCTTCTTTTCCTCCTCCTCTCCCCCTCCTCCCTCCTCCTGGCCCTCCTCCTCCCACCCCCTCCTCTCCTCCTCCTCCCTCCTCCTGGCCCCCCTCCTCTCCTCCTCCTCCTCCCTCCTCCCACCTCCTCCTCTCTCCCACCTCCTCCTCTCCTCCTCCTCCCACCCCCTCCTCTCCCCCTCCTCCTCCCTCCTCCTGGCCCTCCTCCTCCCACCTCCTCCTCTCCTCCTCCTCCTCCTCTCCTCCTCCTCCTCCTTCTCCTCCTCCTCCTCCTCCTCCCTCCTCCCACCTCCTCCTCTCTCCCACCTCCTCCTCTCCTCCTCCTCCCATCCCCTCCTCTCCCCCTCCTCCTCCTCCTCCCTCCTCCTGGCCCTCCTCCTCCCACCCCCTCCTCCTCCCACCCCCTCCTCCTCCTCCTCCTCCCTCCTCCTGGCCCCCCTCCTCTCCTCCTCCTCCTCCCTCCTCCCACCTCCTCCTCTCTCCCACCTCCTCCTCTCCTCCTCCTCCTCCTCCTCCTCCCTCCTCCTGGCCCTCCTCCTCCCACCTCCTCCTCTCTCTCACCTCCTCCTCCCACCTCCTCCTCTCCTCCTCCTCCTCCCTCCTCCTGGCCCTCCTCCTCCCCAATCCTGGCTCTTTCTGTTTGCTTTTAATGACTCCAGTCTCCGGCGAGCCCCAAACAGAAGCTCTCGACGAGGGCCTCTAGTGGCCTATCAAGTAATTGCGTGTTTTTCCTCCTTTCATAAAGAGCTAAAAGCAAAAGTTCATTACTGACGCTGTTTGTTCCAAGCTGTGAGAAGAAAATTACTGCAGAGAGAGAAAAGAAAATAAGTTTTAAAGATGTAAGAAAATGTAACACAATTAGTATTTATAAATAATCACAGGACATTAGAAATAAAACATATAAATTAATATGAATACACTCAATCAATAAAACTGATTATTGTTTTCATTTCGATGTCCCGCCCTCCACCGTTTCACCAATCAGAAAGTCTGTGATCCGGGCGCCAGAACTCACCGTGTGGAGCTAATCTCACTGGTAAAGTACCATGTGGCGCAGAACTAAAAAAGGTGTCGTTATGATTCTCAAATCATTAACGACAAAACAAGGAATAAAACCAGGATTTCTATCTTTGTGAAAAAGGTGTTGGTTATAGATTTGTTGTTGACTAAACTCTTGTCTATTCAGCTGTTATGGTCCCAGCTGGATTCGTCTGCATATCTGGCAACCTGAGTCAGGGAGAGTGGGAGAGGCTGCAGTACCACTTTTGGCCACATGTTTACACACTGCTCCTTTAAAGGACAACTCACCCTCAAATCCACTTTTTTTTGCTGATAAACGGTATAAATGAGTGTCCAATAGTGTTGTCTACATATCCTGGTCATAATCGTGTCACTTTGGTGCAAATTAGTTGAAATTTAAACTTTCTGGCTAAAACCGTCTGTGAGGCGCCATCTGCTGGCGACCTGTATTACTACATTTGAATTTTGAATCTGGCGCCAACACTGGCACAGAAGTTGGACCTGACGTCTGCAAGTTGGACCTGACGTCAGCAGCCCCCCGCCCAGAGCAATGTAAACGGCCCAGTCTCGTTCACGCCCCCTTTAGTCCTCCGGGCCACGCCCATTTAGAGGAAGATTTGAACAGGAAATGTGAGTAACGTAAGCTCCGAGGAGCGGGGGTGAGAACCACTTTAAGACATCAAAGTTCTAACGTCTAACTAGGAATGTACCAAATCCAGGATTCGGTTTCGGATTCGGCCGAACCCCAAAAATCTGGATTCGGTACATCCCTACTCTCTACTTTAACAAGAGGAAATTCCCCAAAGTTATTTCCAAACCGTGAGGATGTGTCGGCGGTTGTGGGAGAGAGACTGACAGTTTCATGAAGACAGATGTAAATGCCTTTGATGGACTGTGGGGGATTATTAGTCTGGATTAGAGCGTTCACGAAGCTTTCTGAAGCTGTCGAGCTGCTTCTCCGTCATCATTTGTGGCTGAAAAACAAAACAGCGACAGTCGCACAGAAAGACACGAGCTCGGATCAGATCAACAAACGTTTTTTCTACTTTTCACGTTTGTGTTCTGAAAAACTGGACAAAAGAAAGCGGTCTGAAGCAGTTATCTATTTATTTCAAAATCTGCACAACATGGTACAAAAACATGATAATTTATTGTATGATCTTGCATTTACAAAGTCAAAAAACATGCTCGGACTGAGGCTGTAGACCCAGGACTGAGACTGTAGACCCAGGACTGAGGCTGTAGACCCAGGACTGAGTCGATCCAGGACTCGAGGCTGTAGACCCAGGACTGAGGCTGTAGACCCAGGACTGAGGCTGTAGACCCAAGACTGAGGCTGTAGACCCAGGACTGAGGCTGTAGACCCAGGACTGAGGCTGTAGACCCAGGACTGAGGCTGTAGACCCAGGACTGAGGCTGTAGACCAAGGACTGAGGCTGTAGACCCAGGACTGAGGCTGAGGCTGTAGACCCAGGATTGAGGCTGTAGACCCAGGATTGAGGCTGTAGACCCAGGACTGAGGCTGTAGACCAAGGACTGAGGCTGTAGACCCAGGACTGAGGCTGTAGACCCAGGACTGAGGCTGTAGACCCAGGACTGAGGCTGTAGACCCAGGATTGAGGCTGTAGACCCAGGACTGAGGCTGTAGACACAGGACTGAGGCTGTAGACACAGGACTGAGGCTGTAGACCAAGGACTGAGGCTGTAGACCCAGGACTGAGGCTGTAGACCCAGGACTGAGGCTGTAGACCCAGGACTGAGGCTGCTGTAGACCCAGGACTGAGGCTGTAGACCCAGGACTGAGGCTGTAGACCCAGGACTGAGGCTGTAGACCCAGGACTGAGGCTGTAGACCAGGACTGAGGCTGTAGACCCAGGACTGAGGCTGTAGACCCAGGACTGAGGCTGTAGACCCAGGACTGAGGCTGTAGACCCAGGACTGAGGCTGTAGTACCCAGGACTGAGGCTGCTGTAGACCCAGGACTGAGGCTGTAGACCCAGGACTGAGGCTGCTGTAGACCTAGGACTGAGGCTGTAGACCCAGGACAGAAAACCCTCAAATCCTTTTCAAAGAATAATCTAGATTATTGATCCCAAACCCCAGCCCCTCCCACTCCCGTCCAAACACCCTGAGTTTGACGAACGCCCGCCGTGGATCTCGCTGGCGTGTGATTGAACCCCTGACCGCGGTCTCGTCCGGTCCAAGCATGAAGACAAGCCCGCCGCTGTCCTCAGATCCATCACGCCGTCTCGCCGCCATCCATCAGCCCCCGCGCTCCGCATCATTTGTACCGGAGACGTCACAGCGCCGTCTGCATAATGATGTCGCACTGAGGGGCGGCTTACTCTGCAGAAGTCCCAAAGATAAAGAATCACTGCCAGTTAGAGTTAGACATGTCATCAGAGAGAACCGAGTCTGGTCTGGTCTGGTCTGGTCTGGTCTGTGTTAGTCCAGGACCGGGGCCTTGTTATTTGTGTGTGAAAGGTCCCATTTATTTCAAAGGGAGTTTTAAATACACCCACGAAAACAGAACGTTTTAGAGTGTTTCTATACATTTGGCACAGGCTGGTGGACTGGGTGGACTATAGACCCAGGACTGAGGCTGTAGACCCAGGACTGAGGCTGTAGACCCAGGACTGAGGCTGTAGACCCAGGACTCAGACCATAGAGAGATAAGCACCCATATATTTTGCTTAAGAAATTGCTGCTTCTAACCCTGTAGAAGCAGCAATTAGTATCCAAAATGTTCACAGTATATATAAGCATTTTTGCAGTATTTTTGCAGAATTTTTACAGTATTTTTGTAATATTTTTGCAGTATTTTATGCCTTATTTTTGCAGTATTTGATGTCGTATTTTTTTTTGCAGTATTTCTTGAGTATTTTTTCCCTGTATTTTATGCTGTATTTGTTGCTATATATTGTAGTACTTTTTGCCATATTTTTGCAGTATTTTATGCCATTTTTTTGCAGTATTTTTGCAATATTTTTTTGTTTTTCTTCTGTATTTTTTGTTGTATTTTAGCAATTTTTTGGCCATATTCTCACCATATTCTCGCAGTATTCTGTGCAGTGCTGGGTCGGCAGCTGCTCTCTTCCTGCAGAGTGCGTCAGATGAATAAGTAGCTCCGTAATGCAGCGGCTCGGCCACGACCATAAGTCACCGTCGGTTTGTCTGCAGCTTTCAGGCCTGAGTGAAAAATGACACACTTTTATTATTTATACAATTCACAGTTTCACATTTGAGTGGATTGGATGTTTTAGCTGATGCCGAGGGTCTGGGCGCCGTTATGAGTCGCTCGCCGCCGCCGAAGGGAAAGTCTACTTTACCGTATTGGTTCTTACACAAACACATTATGAATAACTCTGACTTGAACTGTCGCTGTTTTTCATCAACTTTAACA